TTCATAAGATACGGCTTTGCCCTCCCGTTATTCCTCGCGCCGGAACGTCGGTCTTCAGTTTCGCAAAAATGAGTTCGGAGGGAAAAATCAACTCGATCCGTCGCCAATTCGAATATTGCGAGCGCGCTAAGCGCCCGTTTTTATTCCGGTCGCACTGCAATCGCAGTCCGCGTGTTAACTCGTGACGAACGTTACGGACGGCTTGATAGACGATTACGACTCGCTTAAGCGTCATTACTTACCGAACAATACGAAATTGTACAATTAATTCAAGCTCGTTAATTGCCACACGCGGACAAGTCCGTTTTCCTCGTCTTCACTTTCTACAATTACTTCCATTCTGCTTTCTCTCCTCAAAAGCGCGAGCACGTAAACTCATATAGCGTGTTTTTAGATTCCAAAAGTAGGATGTTGAGTCAAAAGGAAGAGTTGCATTATGTGCAAATCGGTATTAATTACATTCAATCAAAGTTATTAATTGCGAATCTTTTTGTATTAATTCGTTTTCGCGTCTCTTGCTTCCTCTAATTATATCTTATCTACTTTAACGATGTTGCGCACGCAAAGAAATTACTATATACATACATATATATATATATATATATATATATATATATGTATGTGTATGTGCGTAATAAGCTTTGAAAGTACGAAGCTATCGACGCTGTTAAAGCTAAAAAAATATTTTTTACCGTGTATTATATATTTTTCGCGATTTAGACAAAGGGCGTTGATTAAAAAAAAAAGACCGAAGATTCTAACGGGGAAGCGCGAAGAGAAAGCAGAAGAGCGCTTCGGGCTCATTCGCGTCACTTCCATCAGTCGCGAGAGCGCAAAAATCCGGATCAATTCCCCGCTCGAAATCGTCGGGATCGATTGTGCCGGTGACAATTACCTTTGCTCCTCGGCCGGAGGCGCGTTTAAACCCTCCACAAACTCTCCACAATAAACTTTGTCACCATCAACTAGATCTTCCGGCGGTATCCGAGCCGATATCGATCTCTCTTCTTCCCTTTCTTCCTCTTTCTCGTCTTCTCACTTCCGTTCTTCTCCTCCTCGCGGTGGCACTTCGCCGCGAGTGTTCCTCTTGTCCTCTTCGATCGGACCGACGAAGGAGGGGAGGGAGGGCGGGGGGGAGACGCGGGAAAACGTCTTTCACCTGCACGTCCTCGTCCGTCCGCGTGTCATGATCGACGGTCGAGAATTCGTTTGCCGAGGCGAGCGTGAAGGCGAGCGCGCGAGCCGAACGTCGTCGCCGGGAAGCGGGATACGGACTGACTGCTCGCCGCGTCGCTCGAGATTCCGCTCGTACCTGCTCGCGCTCGCCCTCGTGCCTGCCGCGCGCGTCCGCTCCGCTCGTCCGCTCACCGCGCGAGGCGCGTACGCGAGAGCGATCTACGAGATCTACGTACGAGCCGAGCAGCCGAGGGAGAACGTCACGGAGAGGAAGACCCGTTCGCGTGTAAATTTCGAAAAAAAAAAAAAATTTACTTCATCCGAATCTCGAGGAAATTTTGCCAGAGAAAGTCGCGATCTGAAAACTCCTATACGTCCCATTTGAAATCTCCTACTTTTTTTTAACTAATATCTTTATCCGTTAAAGGCAGACGATGTCCTGCTCTCGAAGCAAACGCTTCATCACCTTGATTGCCATGTCATCCACATTTGGATGATGCGTAAAATTCTCAGGCATCACTCATTTATGAATAACGGTTTTATTTAAGAATGATTTTACTACTTAAAACATTAAAAAATCAATATAATTTATTTGAGAATAGAGATATTTGAAAAACATTAAAAATAAAATATTAAAAATGACACATTAGGTGCATTAAGCTCAGGGCCGACATCAGCTCGGCAGTCAAAATTTTATCGCGAGCGAAACGTTATTAATTAAGAACAATTCTCTTCCCTCAACTTCTTTTTTTTTAAATATATTACGCAATATATAATATATATATATTGCGTAATATATCAATATATTATATATATTAATATAATTATAAATAATATTTTGTGTTTAGATAATTAATATGCTGCGTAACGTTTGGATATTTAATATCCAAACGTTACGCAGCATATTAATTATCTAAACACAAAATATTATTTATAATTATATTAATATATATTGATATATTACGCAATTAATTACAGTATATTAATTATCTAACGGCTTCAGTTTATCAATCTGTGTCATTGGAAGGTAGATAGACGTGTAAGTAAGGCTCTCGAAGATACGTACGAGAGAGGCGGACGACGGCCTGTGGACCGGCCTGTACAATCTCGGAGATGAGAGCTGATCTTCTCTCGACGACGCGACTCAAACGCATGGAGCGTGGCGCATCCGTGGTAAACGGAAGTAATGAATGCGGTCGCGCGCTTATCTAGTTTGACACTTCCTTGCCGCGGTTGGAGCGGTCGCGCGATCATCCATATGTAAACGGCGGTTGTCGCGTCGCGTTTTTTTTCTTCGCGAAACGTCGGCGTAGGCGGCGCGTCAAACGAAATCCCGCTTTCATTGATTTACGTAATAGATCGCAATCGATTCGGTTCTTTGTTGCGCGCGGTTCGCGTTGCGCGCGCGGCGCGGCGGGCAACAACTGACCGCCGGTGTGTTCCCGGTATATTGCCCGATATCTTGGGGGGGAACGGCATTCCGGGCTGCGCGAAATCGCGACGTTCGCACTCCTTCTGCGTTCTCTGGACCGAGATAAACCGAGAAGAACGAATCTCGCGCGAGATGAATTCGATCACTCGATATATCGCGACGAAAAACCATGCCTTAGAAATTGGCAAAAAAATACTTCGAGAAAAAGAGAAAGGAAGGGAGAAGAGAGAGAAGTTTATTATAAAACAAACACTTTCTTATATTATTTTCACTAAAATGTTTAATTAATATTTTATAATATTCCGGTTTATTAATATATACAAAAATATTAATGCGTGTGATAAATATTTATAGTTTCTTTTCTCCTTCTTAAAAAGTAGATCTTGATGAGTTAATCGATGAGGTTCATAGAACATTTGTAAATTTTTAGTCTTGACCTATATTATATTTTTGGATAAACATTGCAAAAGCGCGGTTGTTTCCTGCAAAAATTTCAATGAGCGGCTATCATTTGCAAGAGTATAGGTTTCATCAATATATACACAAATATTAATGCGTGTGATAAATATTTATAGTTTCTTTTCTCGTTCTTAAAAGTAGACCTTGATGAGTTAACCGATGAGGTTCATAGAGCATTTACAAATTTTTAGTCTTGACCTATATTATATTTTTGGATAAACATTGCAAAAGCGCGGTTGCTTCCAGCAGAAATTTCAATGAGCGGTTATCATTCGCAAGAGTAGCGCAGCGTCTTGAGGTTTAATTAATTTTAACAACGTTAAATGATAATCGGCCGTAAGTAAATCGTTATTAAATTTCATTCAGAATATCTCCTCCCTCTCTATCTCTTCCTCGTCATTATCTAACGTACATTTTTATGCGTACAATATTGACACATGCAGCTGTTATCAAACATTTCGCTGCACGCGTTAAGTAACTCCGTAGCTGTCTCGTAGTTTGCTTATCGTTATACGTCCTCCTTATCACCGAGTTAGCTCTCCCCCTCCTTTTCCTTTTTTTTCCAGCAACGTTACCGTTAGCTGAACGTCCTGAACATCCGAGATACTTCCTGCGATATGCAGTTTTATTTTTCAACGTGGCGTGAAAGCCGCGAGCGCGAACTGGTCCATACCGTACGCGCGTGCACGTCGACGCGGTACGTGCATAACGAATCGCGCGCGCGGCCGGACCGCGCATTAAGAGCTAGGGGGACAAAGGATTGATAAGCCGTAAATACATGCATTATCTCGAGAACGTCAAGACACTCGGACTGACCTTCCACCCTGTGGTTGCAGATTACGCGACACGGGCGCGATAAAAGTCGGCTGCCGGGTGGCCGACCCAGCCACCGCAGCGCATTTACTGCACTCCGCGACCTGGCGTTTCCTTTTACGTCACGTTTTCGCGCTTGATCGACTCGATCGTTCCACGATAACGAATGTATATTTGCGGATATATATTCCACTATACTCTCCGAGGAAATTCCAAGATTTATTTTCCAAGATTTATTTTCCAAGATTTATTCAGCGTTATAACGGACTGCGACGTGACTTTTATTCGGCAAGTCCGTGCGTATCTTTTTCGTTGCGGCTTTGCGCATTCGATTCCATTATTCCATTGTTTTTTCCACGAAATATATTAAGCAGTTTTTTGTTAAATTGTTCTCGAAAACCAGTTTATATTTTTTGGACTGCTATAAACTGCGCAATGTGTGAGTGTTCTTGATATAATGAAATAGCCTCTTCGAAAATATATCGATAAAAGAGTAAACCAAATATTTTCATTTACATTTAGTTCAGTGATTATATTATTTAATAAAAAAAAGGATTTATATAAATGTTTTTCTTCTCAAAGATAGTCCCGTTATCTTTGACGATATGATATATATGAAAGCAACCGGTTAGGCATGCATCTACCGTAGCTTTGAAAGAGGATGAACATCACACATATTATTGAGTATGGTCTTATTTTACGATACTGCTGTAAGATACGCGTGATGAAAATAGAGATCGATTTTAGTCAAATACACAATGCAAAGAGGACCAGTGATCATCTTGACGTCAATGATCCTTGACTTGCCTTTCTGCGCAGGTAGATTCTTGGGAAAAATCAGGTTTATTCTCTCGTGCCATAAAACATCGAGCGATCGTAAAAATAGCATGATGGTTTTTAAACTGATAAACTTAACTTATCTAACTCTGGTTAAAACTATCGAGTGTATAATTTATTGAAGACAAGTAAACTGAATGAAATAATTCTTGTGTAAACGATATTATTGTACGTCCGAAAAATAGGTTAATCGCGGAATGCCTTAAAATGTCATACAGTCCGGAATGTTAACACTTTCACGGCTGCACCCTTGAGAGGTGTAATTTGGCGCTTTGCTGAATCTAATCTAGTTTCTCCAGACGCACTTGCTTTCGTCATTCGTCCGCTTGAATTTCACTAATTTCAGTAAGAGTGCACGTCCATTACGATCAAGATTGCGGGTTTGAGATATTACTCGGTCGTACATGTTTCAGATAAAATCTTCAAATAGATCCCGCAACAATACGCATTAAGCTAAAAACAATGATTCAAAGTTGTCCACGTTTCTTTTGTAAGGAAGTTCCTGAGCATACCACTTACATAATTCTCTTCTTGCCAAAAAAAGAGAAAAGCAATCTCAGTTTTGAAACAGGAAAAAAATACACTCTCTCTCTATCATACGAATATTAAATCTAAAAAGAAAATTCTCAAAGATAAAAACAAGTTTTAATTCTATTTTTTTCAAATTTTCATAATATAGAATATTTTCCAAAAATTAGAAAATAACGAATTTTGAAGGACGAATTTTTAACAATTTTACACATGTAAAATTATTAAAACTAGATTATCCGTCTTATTGCAAGAATAGAACAAATAAATGGTTAACCAGTTTGAAATCGATCTTTCCTTGTTTTAGATAAAATTTTCGTTCGCTCTATGTCAGAGCAAATAATTCATGTATTTAAACACAGCATAATTCAATATACATTCTGGTATTACAATTTAGCATAATGTTATCGTTCACAATATTCAATCATTGGATATTATTCTCGATAATTACCGTGAAATGTTTGCTTAATTTTCTACAGCCAGATGTAATTTGCAAGATTCAGTAATCGCATTGTTGAGGAAATGCGCTGAAAAATAGCAAATTGTTGACAAAAACAGCAATCTTTCGATACGCAAGTACGATACATCACGAACTCACGAGATTTTGCCTGCCGCGCATTTCGAGGATGCTCGTTATCATTACCGCAATGACATTCCGTGACGGTGGTAATGATCTTGCCGAGGGATCCGGGCACGCGGGCAGGCGACGATGATAACATATAACTAGACGGAGTGGGATCGTTATTCAAACGCGGGCGATTGGCGATTCTTGAGGTTGCATTCTAGGCTGTGGAAAGACTTTGCTCCCGCGGCCGTTGATGCGGAACAATCGTGCAACGAGATCGCGCGGAGGTGATTCTGAAGTCCGCTCACGAATTTCGAAGCGGATTGCGAAGCGCCACGCGCTGCGACGAAGACGGTGACGGTGACCGCGCTGCGCGTTAAGAAATGTCGCACAATACTCTGGAACATGTGCGGCCTGCTGCAAATTTATTCTTCTCGGCGATGCGTTACATCACTACCGGATGCTCTCTCGCACGCCGACATTAGACGTCGAGAGACTTAAACTAATTGTAAGAGAAATGAAGAGAATTGACGGTCGCTCCCCAATGCCAAGGCGGCGGTAGTCGCAGGGCACTTAACGTGGATCCATTAAAGGATTTTGACCAGTTGAATTATTTGTATTTATAGTGCAGTTATCTATAGTATCTGATTGTCGCACTAATTGAGAATTATTGTTAATTAATCCTACGAAATACTATTATAGTATCTGATCGTCCCATTAATTGAGAATTATTGTTAATTAATTCTACGAAATACTATTATTACAAGACAGACTAAATTTCTTGAATTTATGAATATTAATTGCCTGCGCGATGTGAACTTTCGTTCGTGCAATTTAATTATTGCGAGCTATACACGCTTTGGTACATCGATTTATCGTCATGCACGAACCGAATTAATTCTAACTGCGACGCGAATGTGCAGTATTCGATCAAATTCGGTAATTCTCCAAGCACTTGATTTGCCTAATCTTTTATACATATAATATATATATTTCCTTGGTATTATCATATTGCTTTGAGCGTAAGTTTATTTAACTTCTCACTATAACAATACTGTAAATATACTGTAATAATTTTTAAAGTCGTCAAAGCAACAAATTTTTATTATTTTAAAAAGAACGATAATTTATTAACAGCGCGCGTTCCCAAATACCGTTACAATTATAAATTAAAGCGAGATAGAAATGACTTAGAGATAGACGTCACTTCTACTTTTACTCGCGTTATCAATTTCAAATAATGTTCTCTCGATTTGTAAAAGTACAGATAATATTTTGCCCTCATTAATAGCGCTTTCTTTATCTGTCATCAAAATAAATGTAATAAAAATGTTATTGTTTAGCTCAAGAATAAAACAGAGTCGACGTCTCCTATCGGTTCACCGAACGCATTTGTTCTATCTCTTCGCTCTAGCAAGAGCTGGCACCGCTTTCGGACGAGGAGGAACGGAAAGGGAGGGGAGGGGAATTTCTTATTAACAAAGAATATCGCTCGTCTGGGGACCGTTTAAGTCCGCAATGCCGCGGGGGCGTTCAATTACCAATGACAGTTGCGTGCCCGGCGCGGTGCGTCGCGCGGCGGCGACCGACGACGATACGACGCGCGGACGTTGGCAGACGGGCGCGATTATACTCGCGTGTAACTCCGGCCTGCAGCGCCGATGTAACGTCGCATCAACTGCCCCGATATGAGAACCCCGAGACTAACCGTCAACTGCGGGACAATCTAGCCATCAGTCTTAAACGGAATATATTTACGGGGCCGGGCCGAGAGAGCCCGGCGCGGCGCGACGCGGCGCGGCTGCTGGCGCGCGGCGAAGCCGTTCGCTTGGATGACATCACGGCATCCGCTTTCCTCAGCTCGATCCCGATCGTCGGGCGCGAAGGCCCTCGCTTTTCGCGTAAACGCTCGCGTTTACTTTAACTCACGCGCACGCGAATATCGCGGTATAGCTATAAGCACGCCGAATCCTCCTCCGAACCGAGCGGTGCAATCACGGCGAAATCGAATCATCGTCGATGCGACCGGATGGGCGCAGATATTCCGCATTTAATTGTAATGAGGAGCGATCGAAGTGTGTAACACACCGGATACCCGTAAACCGGTTAATTTCGTAAACCAAGGCAACCAGAATGCAACCGGCTTAATGCTGATTGCAACGCTTGATACGCGATAATTTTAGCGCGCTAGTTATACGTATGTACTTGTACGCAAAGGGAGCAAGGCGGGATTATACGCTGTTGAAATTAACGCGAGGTAATCCCTCTAACGAAATAACAGCTTCGACGTCTGCCAGGAGCAGCTTACAATTTTATAGAATTAAGTTGTTTTGTTGGTGCAACCGTTTCATTTTTCCTTGCTTCACTTTATTTTATTCTTGCGAGTCGCTTTAATCTTCGCTATTCTCAGTCATTCGGTGTCCTGAAAAACACTTATCCCCCTAAAGTCGGCGAAAAAAGAAGAGATAAAAATGTTCGCAAAGTACGGTCGTCCAAAGTATTTCTTGCAGCATCAAAATTGCCGTCGGATTACGTGATAACTCTAACTCCAGGTGCAGAAGATAAAATAAACGCACTCACACACGATCGTCAAAAGTATTTTCAGTATCAAAATTGCCGTATGATTACGTGACGGCTTCAATGCTGAAGGAAAAATAAACACGTCCTTCTTACACGTTGAAATAGACATACGTGTTAAGAGACACATCTGTATGTGAGAGAGATATTTGAATTGTGTTTAGCCGTAAAAGTCGGTCAGGTGGAGGAATAATCCGTCAGTCATCTTGACGTCTCTCGCGTCTCTCTCGGGTCGGAGACGGTAATTGTCAGAGAAAGCTCATTATTATGTCCGGGGGACCTATTTTTTAATATTACGCGACGCGACGCCGGGACGGGGAACTCTCCCGTTCTCGACGGAGGAGCGTGTAACCGACCGGCTGCGACGGCCGTGCGACCGTGGGATCCCGCATTCGATAACCGCGCCGGATAAGGGAAGGTCGATAAACGTCGCGTCTCGGGTGAGCCACCCTGTAGACCCGACCAGCCCGTCGTCGGAGAACTCTGGTCGGCTCCTCAGGGCGGAGGGTAAACGGCGGGGGTGGCGCCTGCGCCTGGGAACGATACCCCCTCCGTCGCAAATCTACCCCCTGTTAATCGCCATGTCAGGACCGGCAGTTCTATCTCGGGCGTACGCGCCGCAGGGAGGTCGGCGATTCCTCTCGTTGTTCTCGTCCTTGTTGTCGTCGTCGTCATCGTCGTCGTCGTCGTCGATTGTCCGGTCGGGCGCAGCCTCTTGACCGTCGACAAATATGCGGAAAGTGTGGTCGAAGGGCGTCTGAAGATGCAGCCTCGATCGGCCCCTTCGTGCGGGACGGAAATCAAGTCGCGTCCTCGTCTTCGCGCCGCTCCACGTCGTCGCCGTCGTCGTGACGTCGTCGTCGGGACGCCGTTCATACCGCTCGCTGGCCTGCGAATCGGTCCCGCGGGACCGAAAACCGCCGAGGGATGCTCGCGGAAATGGTCCGGCTCTCCTACCAGCACAGGGCGTTCTACTGCTACGTGATTCTGAGCGTGTGGATCTTCCTGCTGGTCGCTGGTAAACGCAAACAACGCGCCGTCCGCGCGCCGACGTGCACGCGCACGGTCCCGCTTAAATCGCCCGATAGAGATCCGACACCCTGCCTGTATAAGAAATCGGCGTAATTTCGAATCGCGTTCTCCCCCTCCTCTCGCGGTCGCGACGCTGCGGTCAGGCACGCGCGAGAGTAATTCGCACGTATCTGCTCGAGACGATACGAACGAGACTTCGTCGTCGCGTCTTGCAAAAATAAAATATCGAACTCGCGTCAAGTTTGATCAGATTTTGAAATCGGAAAAGAAAATTGTTTTGCTCCGCGTTTATAAATCGTTAGAGGGTTTTACATTGTTATTTGTCGAATTTTCTCCGGGGTGATTAAATCTTCAAATCCTCGGTACGGATTTTATTTTTAAGTATAGGATATGTAGATTTTCATATGTGGATAAGCTGTCGCGCAGCTACTTGAGCGCTTCTCCGCGTTATCACTCTTCAACTTTAATAATAGAGTCGTAATAATAGAACACTTTTTCAATAACATGATGCTACAGCTGGATGTAGCGTTATCAGGTGCTATCAAGGCGACTATTTTACTTTCTTTTCGTCGTAAGGTAAGGGAAGTGTCCAATCATAGTCGTTGACACACGTATGCTAAATCGACACCGCCAGGAAAAAACAAATTCATCGCAATCTATTCGACAAAGAACATTCCTGCGTTGATATTATATTTTTTTCGCCGAAATATAAATCGAGAACGGAACTAACGCGTTTCCTCCTGCTACAGATCTCCATTGTATTTTAATATATTCATATGTACTACCAGATTAAAATCAAAATGCATTAAAGAGAGAAATTATTGTATTCAAGTAAAAATAAAAATGCTAGGAAAATGTTGTCCCCTTTAAAACATACATCTGATAATATATATATATATATATATATATATAAATCAGAATAATAAATAAAATTATTTTAAATAGGATTTTATCGTCGATTACAAATACAAAGTTAATTATGTTGATTTATTAGTATATTGTCAGATTAAATAAAAAAAATACCTTAGAGAAATTATTGTACGTAAATTAAGACGCTATAGGAGAACATTGTCCTTTTTAAAATCGGCGCCTGTCTGAATAACGAAAATCATAACGATAATATCAGAAGTAAGAATTTGTCATCGATTTAGAAACTATCGATTATAGACGATTTCTCTTTCATCGTGCAGGTATGTACAAATATATCGGCGTAGATGAGAAAACCTCGGTGCAAACGAGAGTCCCGAACAATGATTTGTCGCTGCGGGAATTCCCGAGGAATTTGAAATCGGACGCGAAGACGAAGAAGATCTTTCGTTTTTGCAATTTGCCGCACGAGATAGCCGCAGACACCGAAGGTATCCTCATGCAATTATCGTTACACTTTTTAATAAGAAGGAATCGAAAATGTAATATTTCAATTGCACGATGACCGGCACTTTCGTATCCATTAATCAATATAATTCTCATCAATCATATTAAACGTTACCCAAGTAGAAGTCGATCGTCAAAGCTCATCGCGCATGATAATCGCGATAAATAGTAAATGGGCACAAAGTCAATAATCCCGTTTGATCTCACTCTAGAAATCGGTGCAAATCACTTTCTTCTTGCGCAAGTGTGTGCCCGCACACAAGAGCACAGGAGTGTGTTTCAAAATAATTATTATTATACAAGATTGCGTGTATAACGCGCGTAAAAAAATATCGGCGCTTCCTTACTTTCTAACAGGGAAGCTCGACGGCAACCTGACGCTGAGCGGCGTCCTGATCTTCATCCGTCACGGCGACCGCGGTCCGCTGACGCACATACGGAACATAAGCAGCATCAACTGCGGCGGCGGCGAGCTCGGCGCCGCGAGCGAGCTCGAGACCATCTACGAGAACTACGTGAGCTTCGTGCAGAACGCGTCGAGCTACTCGCGTGCCGCCTGGGCCCAGTTCCTGGGTCCGTTTCACGGCCTCCCGGTGCTGCCGGCGAACGCGCGCGACTGCCGGATCGGCCAGCTCACCACCCTCGGCGTGCTGCAGCTGCTGAAGACCGGGGTCGCGCTGAGGAACGCGTACTACCACCGGCTCAACCTCGGCAACGGCACTTCCTTCGGCAAGGACGTTATCGTCTACAGCACCTCCTACCGCAGGACCGTGCAGAGCGCGGTCGCGCTGCTTTACGCGCTCTTCGAGAACGACGGCTTCCAGAGCCTGGCGAGGATCAGCCTGCAGGAGAGCCAGAGCTATGCGTTCTGCAACAACGAGTGCGCCTGTCCCGCCGCCGAGAAGTTCCTGAAGCAGCACCTGAAGGTAAATTTTATTACACGGAGCGAAAGATCCGGGGAAGACCCGTTGGGTATATTCTCGCGAGGCGAAGGTGATAAGTCACGTCGACTCGATCGTGATCCCGTGAAATTCGAGCGACATAACAATCCTCGCGATCGATTACGAATTTATTTACGAGATTGGTACATTCGTTTGAGGAATACAAAGTGAGAACATCATCTTTTAAACTCGAGCAAATATTTATGCGAGGTAATTTAAACCCGCGTCGGATCTCCTGCGCAGTTTCGTTTCATTTTTTAAAGATGCAATACATACGTAAAACAGACTTGTCGCCTTTCCACCTTTCCAAGGGAGAGATCTGATAAATTTACATTTGTGCTATTCCCGTCTTCCCGAGGAAGTTTTAATGACCTGAAGATCTCAGTTCCAGTTTTCTCAGAAACACTGTTAAATAATCTGCATCAACATCGCTCTTCTCCTCTCCCTACTTTCTCAGGAAATCCAATAAAATTATCTAGGTCATTCTAGGCTGGCAAACGCTGATTTCTTAGCGCGCGTTATCTGAATAAAATATAATTGCACGCGACAATTTTTTTCTACGAAAATAATCTCGCCTCGTAACTCCCGTCCGCCGTTCGTGCATCGCACGTGGCGTATCGTGACGATCGCGCGTCAAAAATTTCACTCCTTTTAACGTTTTAATAATTAATTTTCTCATTAAAGTCCTGTGGGGAAGTTCAGGATTTTCGATGAGACAATTATAATTATTAAAAAAAAATTCAAAATTACATTCAAGATCCACGTGAGTGCAGATTTGAGTATAATTAAACTCGACAAAGGCCTTTTATAAATCTCCAAAGCCCATTTAATTCTATTACCGAGCCTTCCATTGATGTGTTACCTCGCGTTTTTCCCTAGTTATTGACATCAAAAGAATAAATCAGTCGAACCTTAATAAAATATCCGCGGAGAGCTCCGGGGGGAGCGTTTCACAATAACGTCGAGAGAATCGCGCGGACCTCTGCAGATAGACCCGTTATACCTATTTCTACTTTCCCCAGGAGACCTCGAACCATCTGAAATCCCACCCGGCCGTCGGGGAGCTGATCAAGCAGGCGGCGAGCGCCGTGTTCGAGCTTCCGGATCAGGCGCAGACGTGCGACCCGAACACGCTGCGGGACGCCCTGTTGGCGTACGTGTGCCACGGCGCCTCGCTGCCGTGCGCGGACCTCGACGCCCAGCGCACGTGCGTGAAGAGCGACCACGTTACCGGGCTGTTCGCCTACACGGACTGGGAGTCGAAGCAGATAGCCAAGAGCAGCAGCCGCACCAAGTACGGGCTGCTGAAGGCGTACGGGATGCTGCGCGGCATCGTCACCTTCATGCTGCGCATCATCTCCGAGGCCAGGCCCAAGATCGTCCTCTATTCCGGCCACGACAAGACCCTGGAGTACCTCGCCACCGCCCTCGGCATAGTCCCCGACGTGGCGACCCACTACGCCTCGCGGGTCGTCATCGAGGTCTACAAGATCAATCCGCGAAACGACAATCGCCTCGCCAGCGACTTCTACTTCCGCGTCGTCGCCAACGGCCGTGACCTCACGCCGAGGGTGCCGTTCTGCAGGAACGCCAACACCTACGTCAGCGACGACGGGGAGTTTATGGGCAAGAGGGGCGTCAAGCTGTGCCCGATCGAGAACATCGTCAGGCAATTGCACGACGATTACTTCGTGCCGTTCAACGCGACGAACTTTAAGGACGCCTGTTCGAGTCACAAGATTCGCTGAAATTAACGCGAACATACTCTAGGCTCGTAAAATAAGATCGATCCGTAGGAAAAATAGGCGAGTTAAAAGGAATGAAAGAGAGAGAGAGACTCATCTTCGTTGATAGTAAATACCAAATACCTTATCCTCGAAATTAGAAGACTTTAGCACTTTTTTAGATTCTCTTCTATCTCTTTTTATCCTGAACATATGGCCGTTTAACCACTATATTCGTAAATAGCAAACACGCGAAGATAAAAAAAATCGCTTTAACAAAGTCTAATTTTAGGCAAGATATTATATATTCTCTTAAAAATGGCAAATGGCTTCGTCCCAGAATAAAAATAAGTAGAAGAGCGGAGAAGCATTTTGACATGTAAGGCCAGTCTCTCATTGTAGAGATCAGAAGATTATGACTTCGCAAGGATGAATTCTTATCAATTCTTTTTAATTCACCTACTTCTCGTATGACAGGTAAATATATCAAGCGGATCTCGAACAAGTTTCCAAGTTGCACTATGCATTATAGATAAATAAGCCGATGTGAAAGTAATTATTAATACTAACATACTAAAGTACATCCGCGCAGAGCTAATCCTTCAATTTTCCTAACGAATTTCTCTCGCGCGATGTAAACCGCTTAAAACACAATTTTCCCACCTAAACGAGAAAGTATTTCGATTCTATCGCGAATAAAAGATATATAAGATTGTTCTTTTGACATTCGGGACAAGCTCGGTTAAAAAATCTTTTTACATCTCGCTATACCGACGCACAATTAACGAAATTTAGAACGAAGATTGTCGGAAATTATAATAAGAGTCAAACACCGAGAAAAAAGAAGTACATAAGTTGCCATTTTAGCAAAGAGCGAGCCTTATCTTCATAGATATGTATCTAAAACTTTAAACTAACATATCTAGATTAATTTAGAGAAACGATAGCGCTAATGAGAACCGATTAGTCGATTTTACTAGTCGAATTATTATATATATTTTATCACACACTATTGTATATATGTAAATATATATATAGTGCTTTAGAAATATATATATAAATATATATATATATATATATTAAAAATATCCACAGTCATATTCCTTCCCCGACTATTAGTACAAAAAGCAATTACGATAAAACGAAAAGAACAAGATTGATCGTGCTTTAAACAGAATCCAGTTGACAAGTGTCTTCATCCCGAGTGACAGTAATGTCCTGCTTCATGTCGGTTTTCACATTTAATAAGAATTAGATGTATTACAAAAATTGATTCTTTATTACAGGCATCAGGAAAACGACATGCAACTCGCGATATATAAAAAGCTTATTATAATCCATTGGTAAATAAATAATGAACGCGTTTTACGGCGTACAAGGCACGCAGGTTTACATATTTATACCTACAATATATCTATATATAACTTACACAACAACTTATGTCGTAAATAAAAGCAACTTCTGGCTTAAAGCCGATTTCTGCAGAAATTGCTTTTACTTACGTTAACATTCGATAAAAGCCTCTCGTGTGTCTTACAACGCTAAAACCTACTTTTACACGCACACTTCTTGCTTATTAATAACGTCTCATTATTCATGTTTTCTCGCAATTCACAGGCGACACCTTGAGAATTGCGTCACCAAGATCAATAAGAGAAAGATAGCATCAATCAAAGTCTCGCATGAAAATGATGAATTAAAAAAATATATTTAAAAAACCGGCAGTCTATTACAGAGTCCGTATAAATGCCCAGTTTCAATTATTTCCGGTCGAGCTGACGAAATTTACATTCTCTTCATTGGTTGTTTGATGATTAATTACGGCGATGCAAATCGTGCAGTCGAACGGAAATCGAAATCCCATGCAGATCGATCGACGATTGCATTTAGTCATAAAATACAGAACGCGTTTATCAAAAATGGAAAATGTGTGTAATACATAATAAAGTGCAATCGTAAACAATTTCATGTTGCAAAAGTCTAACGACTTAAAATACGCTAGCACATTGAATGAGCGTAGCGTCTGAATAAGAGAATTTACATTTTCAAAAGTTATAGAAAAATTCAAGAAAGGCTTAAAAATCTGTATATTCAGGAATTCCAAAATTAATTAACGTTTTAAATATCTACTTGTCTAAAAATCTAAAAAAAAATTTGAAAAAGCGCGGTGTATCATTAGTAAACCATTTTAAAAAACGCGAACTGTATGATACACTACATGAACAATTTGATATTCGTAACATTAACACTGTACAGCTAAACTTCTACACATTCTAAAAATATACATGTAATGTTATTCTGAGATAATATGACTAGTACCAGACTCTGCCATGACTGAGCCGAGTGTTTCTGGGAAATTTCCTACTTCTTGGTAATACTGCCTGAGCATAAAACCGCTACCTCCACTGAAATGTACAATTCAATATATAATGTACAATAACGTTGTGTGAAAATCAAATGTGAAAAGTACATTTCGAATTTCATCAGTCTCAAAACGATCTACATGCAATCGTATTAACAAATAGAAAAATCTCACTTATTCTTAAGTCAGCAATCTGATATATCATGGCTGATTTCAACAAAATAATATTTTCTTTAACAAATGACAATATTCCTAAATTGTGCATGCTTTCTTACAGAATAATGTCGTTAAGCTTATCCTTTTTACATACTTATTAAAAATTTGCGACACAATCAAATCTTCCCTCCATAGATTTCATAAAAATGATATATATTTGATAGTCGTTTCACTTACTTTGTCGCCCTTTCTCTCACAGGTGGGGAATAATTCGATGCCGTTGCCCGGACAGGCGGTAAATCAATCATCTGATTGGCACCGTTCATGATAACGTTAGCACCCACGTATCTTCCCATACGCCAGCGTTGAAGCAACCACTTCATTCTGTGTATACTGACTATCACGAACACGGCGATCCTGAAACGCACCTTCCTGTTGCGACGTAGTCGCACGTAAGTGCGTTGACAGTTAGTCAATTGCGCAAGCACGCATAACGTGTTCTCTTCGCAATACTGATAGCTACCGACGATGCAGAGCAGGTACTTCTTCTGATAAGCCAACGCTTTCCGTTTACTGTCTGCTCGTAGAAATTTGCCGTAGAAGTTTTGTAACTGGAATGCAAAATTCACACATCGTTACTATCTACTGCAGCACAATTATAGCTAATTAATCTCTACACGTATAAATTATTAAAAAATATAACAATTAAGTCATCGTTAATAATTTGATTCCAAGATATGAAAATTACTACAATTTTAAATGTGTAATTAGATTATTAAGATATAAAAATCACTACAATTTTAAATGTGTAATTAGATTGAAATTTAAAAAATTGTTATACCCTCTCGACAGGAATCATTTGCTGACTCGAGGCCTGTGCATTCTTCAGCTGACCCTCGAGCAACTTCACACGTTGCGTCAATAGGTCTCTCTCTGTCCTCATTTTGCCGACTTTACTCTCGAGTTTACTCTTATCGGCAGCGTATTTCTCGACTGTCTCCCTTAGCTCCTTAATTTTCTGCGAATTCGCGGGGATGTCCTTGACATTCTCAATTAAATCCGTGAGTCTTCTCTCTTTCTCTTTCGAGATTATCAGTCTCGAATTGAGCTCCATCTCTCGCTCTTTCAAGGACTCGACCGTGCGCGCAAGCTTCAGCTCCCGATTCGACGACTCCTTCACTTCCTGTCTCGCAAAATTTATGTCTGCCTCCAGTTCCATCCTGATTTCGCGGGCGGTATTGATCTCCCTACGCAGTTCCTCGATCTCTTCCAGTCCAGCATCCCGTTGACCATGCTTCATGCTTTTGACTATCTTCAGCTGCTTCTGTAAAAAATCACACTCCTCTTCTCGCGCCTTCAGCTCTTCTAATGCTCTTCGCATATCCGTCTCTAGGATTTCTTTCAATCCGTTTGTTAACGCCAGGCTGCTGGTTAGTCTTTCCTGTTCCTCCATCGCGATTTCTAACTTCTTCTCATATTTACTCATCTCGTTCTCCAGTTTCTTTATATTCTCCCGTAGTTCCGCATTATGCTCGCGATTTTCCTCAAGATTTTCGTTCGTTCTATAAATATAGAAGAAAGGATTAGGTAACAAAATATTATTGTTTTAAGAATATGTGGTTTATCTTGTTTCGATCAAATATAATTAAATTCTATCGAACGAATATCAGGAAAAACCGTGTAATGTTAACTAACAAATAATTGAAATATTAAAACGCCAACCACGGCCAACCAATAATTAAATTCTATCGGTTTAGATATCAATTTGTCGAAAAAAGATTATAGGATAGATAAACACAACTAATGCACAAGAGAAATAAAAAGTTTAAAAATAAATTAAAAATTAAAACATACCTCTCCGACTCATCTTGCGTGGTTGCAGTGAAGTTCGATAAGGCTTTGTTGGCGTTTTCGGTTTCCATCAATTTTCTCATCGACGTCAACTGTGACTCCAGATTGATCTGCTGTTGTCTCATCGATGCTAGATCATTATGGAGCTTCTCCTCGTTCTCCAGAGAGGCTTTAAACTTCGTCTGCAGAAACTCGATTAAGTCAGAGTTCTGCTTTCGCTCTGTTTCCGCCGTCCGACGATGCTCCTCTATCTGCTTCCTCAAGAACTTCACCGCGTTCCTTTCCGAGACAAGTTCCTTGTCCAGTTGGACCACCTTCTTCATCTCCTCCGTCAAACTCGCCTTCAGTTGCAGAATACGATCCTCGTACTCGGCGATCTGATGTCTCATTATATCTCGTTCGACTTCCAAGTCATCCTTCAGTCTCCTCAGTAATTCGTTGTCCTTGCGTACCTCGTTCGTTTGACGATGATCTTCCGTCGTCACTCCATCCACGCCTTCGTCGTCCTTAATTGCCTGTATGAGTTGCTTGTCCAATTGCGCGGAGCGATTCAGTTCTCGCTGGACCATGTCGATATCGTCCTCGATGTCGCTATCGTCCCACTGCACCGAAGCGTCCTTCGGCTCCAACTCCTTCTGCAGGCTCTGCACCTTGTCCCTCAGCTCCTCGTTCAGCCTGCGTTCCTCCTTCAATTTTCTTCTCAGTTCCACAACATTACCCGACTCCTTCATCTTGTTTTGAATGGTCTCCAATGCTCGATGCAGACTCTTGCTATCGTCGCTCATCTGCCTGATCACCTTGTCCTTCTCCTTCAGGAACTCTTGCAGGTGATGGATCTCTTGGTCCTTGTTAGGACTAGACGACGACGGCGAAGACGTGCCCGACTGAACGTCACTCATTCGTCTCGCCATCTCCTCCAACTTACGAATGACCTGATCCCGATTGTTTAAACCGTCCGTCAGTCGTAGGATCTCGTCCTGCAGCTCGACGATCTCTCGCTCGCGCGCGTGAACCTTCGTCTTGAATTCGTACAGTTGCTTGTTCTCGTTCTCGATCTCGATGTTGCGCGTCTGAAGAGTCTCCAGCGCGATATCTTTATTCAGAATGATCTCCTTGAATCTTTGCAATTCCTGCGTCGTATCTTGCAGCAGGGAGTTGTTCCTTTTCATCTGGTCCTTCTCTCTAACTTCGATCTCTCTCTTTAACTTCGTGTTCTCCGTGTTTAATTCCGTAATAATTCTTTCATTCACCTGCATTCTGTCTATCTGATCCTCGAGCTCTTCGGTCTTCAGTTTCAGCACGTTCTCCACCTCCTCCAGATCCTTCTTTATTTTACTCTCCGACGCTTGGGCCAGCTCGTACTGTCCTTTATAGAAATCTTTGTCCCGCGTCAAGTTTTCGACGATTTCCTTAAACTCATCCTGCAAGTCCTGATACTGTTTCTGCAAGGTGGCCAATTCCGTATCGTACTTAATCAAAAGGTCAGACTTTGAGTCCAGCTCCTGTTGCAGAGCTTGCAGTTGGTTCGACAAGTTTTCGATCTCCTTCACCTTCTCATTGAGCAATTCCTCGGCTCGCTGAGAATCCTCGCTGACATCGTTTTTAGGAGACGATAACTTCGACTCCTCGCCGGAACGCTGCAACTCCATTCGCAAGTGACCGACATTCTCGTTACTGTAACTGTGCGTCTGAGAATGCAAGTCCAACATCGGTACCTGCTCGTCCATCTTGTCCGCGTCGAGAAAAGCGTTGAGACTGTTCGTCTGCGGCGTATTCTTTGACACGGACGTAAGAGCTTTGAAGCTAGAGACATTGTGCGATGTCACGAGCGTTGCATTAGTCGCTCGAATAGCCTCGGGTTCCTCGCATTCCGAATGAATTGACAGGATGTCGCTCAACGTGCGCGCGCTGTTCTTGGCCTCCGCTTGCTTCGTCAGTTCCCGCAGCTGCACGTCGTCCAGAGCGAGCGACGAATAGACATTCAATTGTTTCTCCTTCTTCAAGAGCTGCTCCTTCAGGTGGTCGATCTCCTCGTTCTTGTCGGCCAGCATGCTGTCGATCAGTTGCGGCAGTTCCAGCTGCGTGTGCTCCTGCGTTCCCAGCTTCATCTGCAGCACTTTCTTTTCCTCCTGAACGAGCTTCAGCTGATCCTTCAGTCGCTCGATCTTCTGCAGCGCGCCATCTTCCGATTGCAAAAAGTTTTCCATTTCCGCTTCTTTCTCCGCCAACATCTGATTAGTCCTCTCAAGCTGGGCTTTCAGCTCTTTCAGCTCAATCTCCTTGTCGGTGATGGTCTGTTCCAGGGAATGATACTTCGTGGTAGCCTCGTGCAACTGCAACTCCAAACGAGACGTCGCCTGCTTCTGCGCGAAAGGCGCGCTCTGCTTGTGCTGCTCCAAGCGACCGCGCATCGCTTCGATTTGGTACAGCTGCTCGGACGCCGTCTGGTGCAAGATCTCCTGTTCCGCCAACAGTTCCTCGTTCTGATTCTTTATCGTGGTCAACTGCATCTCCAGATCCTTAATCCTCTTGAAGGCTACCTCCTCCGCGCGCGCGTGCTTCAGCATTTTGTCCTTCAGCTTGAGTATCTGGTCCAGCGGGAGCATCGGCGGCGAAGACGGATCATCCGGGGTCAGACATCTCGTCGCGTCGATCTGCTCCCTGATCGAGACGTCTTCGCTCGGCTGACTCAAACTCAGATTGGAACCACACATGTGCGCGGATTCCATCTCTCGGATTCTCTTGTCTAACTGATTCTGCATCTCATGCAATTCTGTTTTCATCTGCTTCAGAACGGATGAGTTGACGTTGAAGTGCTCCGAACTTAACTTGTGCTTATTCAATTCCTCCTAAAAAATAAAAAATAAAAACAAATAGTATTAAAACACTCTCGTGACCATTTTCACTCCATGTATTGTTCACACATTCGTTCACTTTACTTACTTGCAAACGGTTAATTTCCTCATTCAGATGCCTGTTCTCGCTACCAGATTTGATAGCGTCCAGCTCTTGCACCAATTCTTGCTGATTCTTCGTCTGCGCGGTAATCACGGTCTCCAATTGATTGATTTGCATTTGCAACGACTCTTCCCTTTCGCTCTTGGCTTGCAGCTGCTGCTCCAAGTCAGCAATGATCTCTCGCAGGACCCAAATCTTGTCCACCGCGGCCTTCAGTTCGCTCTCCTTCTCCGACTTCTTCGCCTCGGTATCGGACATTAACGACGACATCTCTCTCATCTGAGATTCGAGAGCCTCCACCTAGATCATAAATCATATGTATACATATGTGCGAGTTATCAGCGCATCGGTCTTACAGGATGTCACCTATATTTCCAGTCAAGCATGACCCAATGTGTAAAGCATGAGGAGACATGGTATGTATAATCTACTTATAATAATTTTAAGCTAATGTACAGTGGGTAAGAAAAAATAATTGTATACCTACACAATAAAAAAATAATTACATTGTTACTAGAAAAATAAAAATTACTGGAGGAAGATGATAAATAAATAAGATGTACAATTCTATCTACAAGTAGTCTGAACTTTTTTTTATTACGTCACATTTAAGCGCACGTATTTATTATTCAAAAAATCTAAATTTCATAAAACATTTAAATGCATTTTGTTAGGCACGTTGCGAATATAAATAAACGGGTAAACTGTAATTTATTGCGTAACTTGTCAAATATCTTGACAAAACATACGGGTATTTTTCTTACCCACTGATAACGAAAGGATCGTAGAAAAAAGTTAAAAAATTAAAGTAAATACAACAATACACTCACAGCAATATTGATGTCAGTCATTTGAAGCTCAGGGATGTCTGTTCTTTCAGATGATAGCTCAGACTGCTTTGTGCGACAAACAGAAAAACCAAAACCAGAGTGCAGAAAAAACTTGTGTTAATACAATTAGTCGTGATGCGTGATACTAATTGCTGACAATTAATTTCCGAAATAGTATCCCTTTCAATTGGTAGTTAAACTTACATTCTATATGCTATTTTCGACAGAATTATTTTTAGATTAAGGTACCTGCTAGTCAAAGTGCATGTTCTACAAAATAGAAAATGTAGGAATGCAGAATTTATATTTATGATATTACAGGATTATATCTAATATTTTCAAATAAACTATACAACTCATTTTTTTTATGGATCAGTACGCAGTTTTTTTTCCAGCAGTTTTAAGTCTATGTTATATATTGTATATATTAATTAAACCACAGAAATCCATAGTTAAGTCTTGGAAATGGCAGTCGTTATGCCAGTTAAAATTTCCTGGTTAGTGCAGTAATTACTATAGCGAATTAAGAAAATTTATATTAAGTTAATTAATCCTTAGTTAGTTGTAAGTCAAATTGTTGCATATCTTTTTTAGATCTGTACATTAAATTTAAAAAATCGAGGCAATATCTGTTTTTAAAATTTCTTTGAGAATAATTATACGTATTGCAAAAAAGTTTTGATATATTAAAGGCAGTATTTTACACAGGTTTAGCATGTATGAATATCTTCCCTCAATTGGCGTTAACTAATTAAGGATTAACTAAGGAACAGTAAACCTTAAACCACAGCGGGTGATTATAAAAAGCACATCGTGTTTGTACTCAACGAAAAATCTTTTCATAACGTTTAAAAAAAAAGAAAAATATCCAACGAGAGTCATACCTCAGATGTCATACGCATGTCTCTTTCTTTATCACGCTCGCGATCCTTAAGCTGTTCCTGCAAAAAGTGAATTTGCTTCGCAGCTTCGTCTCGTTCCATTTCGCGCTCGCTCGCTTGTTCGTCCAGAAATCGACGCGTCGCTCGTAACTGTTTGTCTGCTGCCTCAACCTAAACAAACGTAATTCCAGTTAGAGGTAATTATCGTGTCCCACACGCGGCAGCGTATGTGATAAAAGTAATCAACTTCAAAGTAGAATAGTTTCATTTGCTGCATTATTTAAGCCATTTGTATGTAATGTATCTAGATAATTGTCAGTTATGTATCTAAAATATAAAAATAATGTAATCGTCTTATTAATTTTTTTCGGAATTAAGATTTTTTATACAAAAAGATTTTTTATTATACAAAAAAAGTTGTGTTAATGGATTTAGATTTTAGAAACAGAGAAATCAGTTCTTTAAATTTTTTTAGAAAGGATAAAGATAAAAATAAATATTTTGTACATATCTACAATATCCACAAAGAAATAATATTATTTAGTAAGAAATTAATCGTAATAATTTAATTAGCCTTTCGTTATTGAGTTGGCTTCATTCATAGAAAAATAAAATCATAGTACAAGAAATAAAATAAACTATAAAGATGTTAGTACTACCGAATATTATTTCAGATGCTCAAAGAAAACCAAAGTAAAACAATTGATAATTCCAATATTAAAATATAACTAAAATTATTTAATATCGGAAATTAAAACACCAAAAATACAAAAAATAGAAAAATCTCATTTTTAAAACAATTTTATATATTTATTTTTTAAAAGTCAATATATTTGAACATTAATTTAATTCCAAAATATGTGACAACAAAATCAGAGTTACAAAAAATGTTTTAACAAATTTTGGTTATAATAAAATAAACAATAAAACAATAAAATTTATAATGGAAGACATGTTAAATTATAGTGACACATTTAAATGTCTACAATTATAGCATGCAAGGCAATTATTATATATCTTGCAACAACAAGCAATAAACACTGGCATGGTAATAATTATACGTACTTTTTAGTAATTCTATGACAAATACATGTGCAATAAATCTATGGACAGATATTAGAAATGAGATAAATGACATTTCAATGAAAGCTCATTTTACACTTCTTAATTGCGGCGGAATGTTATACATTATTAATTTATTACAGAGCCGATCTGGAAGTAACTTACGGACAGCGTTTACAAAAATATTAGTTATTCTATAATTTACCTTTTTGCAGCAAACCCTGTGAATGTATGGGGTAGGAGTGGGTTCTAAAGGTACCTGCTGGCAAGACAATAGAACGCCAATCAATCTTTTAAAACTTGCATCACAGAGCTCTGTACTTTTGATTTGGAAGACGCCTCTTATTAATCGAATACTTGTTTTACTGACAAATAATATTTTTTAAATATGTTTAAACTGCACAATGTTCTAATTTCTGGCTGGTTTACAAATTACAGAAGAATAAATATCATTTTATACAGGGTGCATAAAGAAAAGTGAAGAATATAAAATAAAATGAGTTATCTTTAAATTACTAAAAGATTCAAAATCAAATTAATAAAACTCAATAAAAACCAAGAATTTCAGTATGTAGGAATCATGAACAAACAACACTGTCGAAAATAAAAATTTCAATGAAAGTTAAAGTTTAAAATAGCACATAAAGAATTAAGTCTGTGATTTCAATAGATGATACATCCAAGAATTTCGGGATGAATGAATCTAAATATTTCGCTTTCTTAAAACACTCTGTAAACAGTGTGCATAATACGACAAAATTCTTTCTAATTCTGATACGATTTATCAAATATAAAAAGAATAGTAAATATACGTATATAATATTAACAGACTTTTCCACCATTGCGTTATGTAAAAAAAAAAACGTGCTATACAATAAAAAAAATCGTGTTAATTGTTGCTACACGGTAAAACACGTACGATGTAAATAATATAAACACGAAGCTCGTAGATACAGAAGTGTGTAAACTTAATGAATTACAAAGACAAGTTGTTTTAAGTACACCGCAATGTTCATCACCGTACTGACATACCAATATCGAATAATTAGAAGTCATGCAACAATGCGCTTTGAGTGAAAATAATAAATTTGAGCAAGAGCGACAACACTGTTGTCGATTTCACCTGTTGTTGCAGATCTTCCCTCTCTTTCCTGGCGTCGTCTATTAGTTTATCATTTTGCCTGCACAACTCTTCTATTAATTGCAGCAAATAAGATATGTCGCCGCCACCGTTAGATAATACGTGTCTAGCTGTAATTTGAATAAAAATATCGGAAATATAATATATGTATGTAGGAAAAATATTCGGTACAGATTCAAATATTTTTCAATCAAAATGCTGATGATGTTACGAAAAATCAAATTTGGTTACGATAAAAATATAAATATACAAAATTAACGAAATCATTCATCTTAATTTATATAAATTTATATAAAAATCAAGTAAGACTGTACCTTTCTCTTGCACTTGCAAAAAATCTTGCAATACAACATCGCCCCCAGAAAGATCGTTTTCGCCGTATCCTTCCGTGATGACTTCTTTTTTGCTTTCAGCGCTAATCAACTTTCTCTGTAGTTCTAAAATATGTACTTTTAATTGTTCTACTTGTTCTTGATAATTTATTAGCAAGGCCTCAGCGTGATTCAGTTTCAAGGAGAGATCTTCGTTAATTTTACTTGCTAAGAGATTCTCGTTTGACGATACGATCTTATCATCGCCATCAGAAAACGAAAGATTGAGGAATTGCGAGCTATCAGACTTCAAGCGTCTCAAACATGCTTTCAGCTCTTTTTTCAATATTTCGTCTACATCTTCATCAACTAAACACTGTAACGTCTTGTTGTCGCTGTTAACGATGGAAATTATTTTGGTGGACTGCGGAGCAAAATGAACTCTCTTGATCTGTTGGTTTGCTGAATCCTTCTGCGGTGTTTGAGGTAAAACGCCATTCATGCTTAAATTTTCTTCATTAATTTCTTCGACAACAGCGGATTCCATCAGTTGTCTTTTTAAAACTTCGTTGATCAGAGTATTATTGACTTCCTCTTCGCAGACAGCGAAGTAATTAACTAACTCTCCAATTAGGTTTTTAAGGGTTACACACGCCTTCCATAGATTGTCTCTGTGAGAAAAAAAAAAGAAATATAACACATGAACAATGAACCGTTAAGAGTTAAATGGGAGACTCATACAACAGAAAAAATAATTTTAAATCTAGTTTTAATTTTCAAAGTATATGACAAGTCAATAAATATTAAATATTTCAGCATTAATATGTTTACTTCAATGATTTTCAATTTTCTATCTGCTAAACAATAAAATAACATTTAAATATTTATCAATTACCTTTCTTCCACGATATTTTCTGACGCTCCAACGATACAACTAATTGCTTGCTTGTCACCCGTATTCGTTTTAAGATTGGCGATTTCCTTTTGATGTTGCTCAAGAATTCGTGCCACACTGCAACTGTGCTCGTCCTCCAGACGAGCTAATTCGACGCCATGCATCTTTTTCAACTCCTGAATCTCTTGCTTAGCGTTGCACGTGAACTTATCCCGCAGTTCTAATAATTCGACCGGCCAATTATCTTCTTTGTCTGCCTCCACCGATAATAGCGCCTGCACAAGAACAGACCATTAGAACAGACTTTGCAACAAACACGTTCTAATAACTTCTAACAAGCCACAAATACATCGAGACAATGTTCATTAGCCAAAAGTGTTTGTACGAGAACGCATACAGTAACATTCAGAAATTATCGTGTTCAAGAAAATACCGAAGCGGCTTAATCAGATTTAATCTATGCGTTATTTCGTTTGTACTTCATTCTTAAGCCAATTTATTTTTTACACATGATCCACATCTACCTGAAATTGTTCTTGAAGAGCGTTGACAATGTCCTGCCTAGCTAGAGCAATCTGCTCTTCTAGCTGGTGATTATACGCATCACGCAGGCTCGACAATTCACCGTTCTCCAATGCTTCCCATTCTGTCTGACAATACTACATGCAAACAGGAAGTCACACGGCGGTATGTTAGTCACAAAGGAAATTAACATTACAACATAAGTTATCGAGACGGCACAAATATTCTTTCATTTTACTGCACGAAAAATATATTAATTACGTTAAATGTAAAATCACAAACATTACGGATCACAGAAGATCATAAAGATCGTATTGAGATGAGAATTACTAATGATAATCAATGTATACTGATCACACCATGCGTCCACAATTTCATACATAAATCTTTGTATTACACATTAATGATAAAAATTGCTGTTGTCAACAAAAATCAGTATATTATTAAAGCGAACTCGTGATAAGCGAATCATTTTTCCTCACCTGATGCGTAGTGGGTGCAATCAATGCACTCTCAAGCTTCGTCTCGATATCGCGAATTTGACACTCGTACAATTCCTTCTGCTCCTCGATCGCTTTCTCGTAATCGGCCTTGATAGTCTGCATTTCATTCACTTTGTGTTCCAATTCCTGTCGCAACGTTTGGATGCTAGCCTCATATTCCGTCTCGACGCGTGCTTGGCTTTCAGCATCTATTATCTTGCTCCTCAAGGATTCATCGGCATTGGGTGTCGCCGTTCGGGAGTTCGACACGTTCAAGCAATCTCCGGCGCCGCCAAAATACAGATCGTCTGTCAGCTCCTCGGCCTCGCTGTCGTTGTCGGAAATCCGTTTCGACTGTTGGCTGAAGATTTCCTCGGAATACTGTTTCTCCATCTGCAAGCACTTCCGCTCGAAGTACGTCCTCAGTTCCTCCATCTCTTTGGCATGGCGGGCTTCGAGCTCGGTCCTCAGATCGTTCAGGCTTGCATTACCATCCTTAAGGAGAACAAAAAGTATAATTTAAAACATACATATAACATAATTCTGCTCAACACTGTAAAGAATATTGACATAAATATTCTTTCAGATCAAATGAGAATAAAAGTGACTTGCCTTGAAATTCTGCAGCAACGAACGCAGTCTGTTGATCTCTTTGGCAGAATCCGCTTTAACAGATTCCAGCTCTGCTTTACGCCGATTCAACATCTCCTCGATTTCCTGACTTAGCAGCTCTTTCTCCGCCCACAAGTTCTCCAAGGATTTTTGCAGCGAGTCTTCGTTGTCCTTTTGCAAAGTGGCATTCTCCACCGAGGATTGCGTCGAGGATTGCGTTGCCTTAGCGACGACTATTTTCTCGCATAGTGCATAATAATGAGATAATTTTGATTTAACTTCGTCCAAATTCGGCTCGCCCTCTAGAATTTGTTGCAACTCCTTATACAGGTTATCGTTGTCCTTCAGGCAACTGTTATCCGTTAATGTGTCGGCGACATTCGATTCCGAAACTTTCTTTTGATTTGCCGCATTTTGATTCAACGCACTATCATCCAAGCTCTGGTTCTCTTTCAGGAGCTTGGACGAACTCGTGCTGTTCAAGGAGGTATTAACTTTACTGCAATCGCTGATCGCAAGAGTCTGATTCAATCTCTCTTCGAATTCGGCGCACTGTGCCCACGCGTGGGCCAAACCGTCCCTCAACTGTTCGCACGTCGTTTCCTTCCTCTTCGCTTTTTCCGTCATTTCAGCCAAATCCTTCTTATACCTAGCGTTCTCCGTGTCTTTCTGCTCCATCAGCAGTTTGAGACTCTCTATTTCACGCTGCTGATCCTCTATTCGCCGAGCCGAGTCGCTCTCGACCTTCGCCACAACACTTCTCGAGGAATCCTGGACGGAGGCATCGCGAGACGTCGCGCGACCGAATTCTCTCAGCGAATCGACTTCCTGCTGCAGCTTGTCGCACGTGTTTTTCACGTCCTTCAGCTGCTTCTCGTAAGTTCTCCTCGCGACATCGGCCTGCTCCAGTTCGTCGTTCGCTTTGGTCAGATCCGCCTCGAGAATGCGAATCTTCTCGACTAACAGCTGTTCCATCGCCATCTTCTCCTCGAGCTTTCGCTTTATCAGCTGATGCTGAATAACCTCCTCGTCGAAAGTCTTGTACATGGTTTCCCCCAGCTCACTGACCGTGCTCACGCTCGTAGCGTCGAACCGCGACAAGGACCTCTCCATGTCGTACAATCTGCTGCCGCTCAGGGTGGTTCTTTCGTGCACCTGACTGCTCTCGATAATCGACTGCGCCGCGGAATACTTGCATGACAGATCGTCCAGCTTGAACTTCAACGAGTCGTTCTCCTGCTTCAGCGCAGCGGCATTTGACAGGGCCTGCTCCAGCGATCGCTCGATGCTCTCCTTGGACTCCAGGATGCTCATCGACGCGATGTGCTTCGACGTCATCTCCTCCAGCTGAATTTTGTGCAGTTTGATCTGCTCGTTCAGCAGCTCCTTCTCCCTCTGGAAGTGATGATTTTGCATGCGCCGTTCGTTCTCTGCCTCGAATCTTAATTCGTCGAGTTTCACTTTGTACTGGTGGACTTCAGACTGAGCGACCTTCTGCGACTCCACGTGATTCACCAATTCGAGCTTCAACGCCTCGACAGTCTTCTTGTAGTGGGCTAGCTGTGTCTGAAAGACGGATAATTCCTTGGCATGCCTACTCTCCAAATCCGTCTCAAGTTGTAATTCCTTGTTCAAACGATCGGCCAGCATTTTGTTTTCCTCCTTCAATACTTTCATGCATTCTTCGTGCTTGGCCTTCATATTCGCAATTTCAGCCTCGCTCTTCGAACTTAATTCCTACGAATATAAAATTCGAATGAAGAAATCAATATAGCAAAAATTCTCTTTTTAATTACTACACACGAATAACCCGTTGATAATTTTTATTATATATAAACATTATGCCAGCTCTAAAATTCGCTGAAAATACTTACAAATTAAAAATTTATTATTTAAGTATACAAAAGAACGTCCTTGTAAAATACTTACTTTTAACTCCTTTTGATGGCGCACTTCGTTGGCGTTTGTCACAATGCTGAATTTGTTCACGATGTGCTGCATGTCCTCTTTGATTTTATCAACGCGTATCTCGTGCTGCCTGTGCTGCTCCAATGTCTCGTCGATATTCAGATTCTTCTCCGCGGCGCCAAGGCGAATTTGCTCATTTAGATTATTTATCTGTATTTTGTAATCGTTGATTTCCGCGTTACGCGCTTCCCTCTCCATCTCCAATGCCTGTGCGTGTTTACGAAGGTCCGTCAAGTGCGCGTTTAATTGACGAATTGCCACGTCCTTCTCGCTCATCGTCGTTTCCAAATCCTCGATCTGATACATTCGGAACAACGTTCGACATCTAGCAAGGTTAGGTATAAAATGTAAACGTGTGAAGCGCGTCACTCACCTTTTGCTGCAAGTTCACATTGCACATCACAGGATCGTTCAACTGCATGGAGTTCAGGGCATTAAGTTGCATCGTCACAGTGTCTCTCGCGGATAATGCTTGTTCTAAAGACGATGTCAAGTTCTCTATCAGAGTATCGCGTTGATTTACTGCCCTTACAAACTCCTGCAACTATTTCACGAAAAATGTAATGTTATTCAATGCTGATTATTTTGCAGCAACATTTATAAACAAAAATAAAATATTTATTTTAAAAACAATAAAATTATAAGCTCTAGACTATCAACAGCATTAAAATTGTAACTATTGTTATTATCAAAAGCAAAAAAGTAAGAATTTATTAATTACATTAAGAAAGAAGTATCGCAAGGACTAGCAATGGTTTCCTGAATCATTAAATACATTCTGACTTAACGTTGAAAAAAAAATTGTATTTATAATCACAAAAATGCAATATACTTTTTGTTGATATGAAGCTAAAATATCCCTCTCATGTATACTGCTGCAATGACTCTGCGTCGAGTTTGGGGAGGATGTGTCCGCTCGTAAATGATCAATTTCTGCATTCAAGGTCCCGACCATAGCTTCCTTTTTCTGCAATTCTTCCTCCAGTTCTGCGACTCGCCCCGCCAGTCCCTCCAAGTCAGCATCGGCCTCTCCTTCGCTTATGCTGACGCTGCTCTGCGTTATATCCCTCGAGGATATGCCTTCGGTAATCTACATACGTCAACGAAGAGCAAACGAGATGCATGAAAACGCTGTGGGTCAAATAAACATCAAATTCGGGAACGCGAGTTATCGCGCTTTCTTTTTCCTCTTACACCAGATTCCCTGTGCAGCATGTACTTCTCGTTGTGCAACGACTCATCGTCAGACTGCTCCACGTACTCCATGTGTCCGCCTTTGTCCTTGCCCGAACGTTTTGCCTTGTACTTCTCCAGCTGCAACACAAGAATACAATTACACGTCTCAGGCGTTAGTAACAGGAGGCAAAAAAAAACGTACCCGACGTAGAAGAGGACGCTCTACGTCCCTTGAAAATATAGGAACAACAAAGAAAACGGACGGGCAACGCGCGAAGCGCAAAATTAGCAATATAAACAAACAAGGACTCGCTTCGAATTGTTGAGCGAGCAGCAGGAGCCGTGCAATGAAGACGATACGGATGATACGGAAAACGGGATAAGAGAGATTGGGACACTTGCCATTTCTCTACCGGCCTCCAGCGAGCGTTTTCTACGCTCGTCCTCGTCCTGTGTCGCGCTCATCCCGACGGACCGCCCGCGGGTCGACGTGCATGAGAAGGGCGCAAAACAAAGTATCCCGTCAGCCACACGTTTCTCAGCTTGTCACCCGCTTTCTTGTTACATTTCAAATTTGACGCCTCCGCACCGGTTGATCGCGGCCGCCAGCTGTCATGCGAGCTCGGCTCGTGCCGCGCAATCGCTTGCCTCGCCCGATCAAACAACAAAAGCACAAACCTCCGGAGAGCGGTCGGAATTAATAAAACGTTCGACGAAAGCGGTTGGAAAAAGCGGTTGGTCTAAAACGGTCGCGCGTCAGTGGTGCCAATCTGAACGGTAAGATCAAAAATTTGATTCGGGAACAGCTGGCAAGACTATGTCAATAATATCACTCCCAGTTTTAGTGGCTCCCGTAAGATAAAACAGCGACGAGATCATTGCGCTTATTCGTTTTGCCATTTCTCAGCTCCAAGATAATACATTATCTATTTATATTATGTTCCTGCAATATAATATTTATTGTTTCGTGCATCAATTTTTTTCTTACCTCTCTCTTTAAAATATACAGTCCAACACAGTACAATATATGTATATAGCTTAATTTTATTTTATATTTTAAATTTTTATTTTTTATTTGGAATTTTTAAGAGTTTGTTTTTATATCATTTTAAGACTAATTTTTGTGCTAAATCAAAATTTTAGCTAATATTTAACAATTCCATTACAATTCAGCTGTCTTAAAATTTCATATAAATATAAGGATCGAAATTTTATATATTTTTTTTTAAATTCACATAATATCTATGCAGTTTAAAAAGTGAGTAAATTTTTCATTATTAATATCAATTATATATCTTGTTAAACAATTATGATTTTTTTTAACTGAAATGTGCAAGTAATGTATAAACTTTTAATCTCTACGAAGTTAATCGTTAATCTAAAAAATTCACTCTTTTTGTGAGAATTTCTTTATAACAAGCGAACTCTCTTTTAGAACTGGACTTCATTTATCAATTCACTGCGAGCAACATAAATAACGTAATAACATATTGCACGGTAATTTTTGCTATTCTTATAACTGTAACGTATAAGCACTTATAACAGTACAAGAGAGTTCTGGGAAACTCGCGTGTTTCCAGAATCTCATATCAGTTCTTCCAGTATTCCGTGAAATCTAAGCGCCGTGAATATAAATATACACAAACGAGAACTATGTATATACCTTGTCATCATTCTTACAAGAATAAAGATGTCGTTTTTAATTTTAAGCAAATATATGTTGGCGTCAAGATGATAGATCGAGCCAGTTCGTTTTTAGCAATTAAAGGGATGTATATTAATAAATTATAAATAATATTCGAGGAGAGAATTTTTTTCAATTAACTTTAAAATTAATAATTGTATATATATTATTAATAATATTAATTGTATCAAAATTATAGCCAGAATTGCTCTAACTCAATATATCTTCTCTGTATCAAGATAATTGCTACCATGCAGCTTATCTGATAAAAGGATGTTAAATATACAAGTGAATTAACGCATTAATTTGATGTTCACGAAGCGGAAATTTATTCCCCAGTTCACACTTTCTCTGCAGAATTCACAAGGAACAAAAAAATCATGCGATTATCTCACTCATGTTGTAAAATTTAAAAAAAAATGTTACTATTAAAACATAAAATATATCACCAATTGATAAACTCCTGATTTATTACTTATTATATAATTAGTATAAAGATAAGATAATTAGCATTCAAATTGCATTATATAAAATTACGTTAGAAGTAATATTAAAAAACTTGCGAGAGAATACTAGATATTTTTCACTGACAATGAAATATATACAACTTATTTACATAGAAAGATAATTGCTGTCGTCGTTTACCTTGTAAGGCCGGAAACTGGTAATATAAATTCTGTATAATCACGACTATGAAAAGAATCTAAGAAATTCAAACGTGTGACAAGAAATTCGCTTCCTCCTTTGCAATTTATACAATCAGTTAGTAGATCTGTTTTTAACGCGAAATTTACAATGTCACACTTAAAAGAAAAATTTTAATTGATTGAAATTTTTTCTGATAAATATGAAGGCACTGAAAGTCGTAGATCTCTTGAATGCTTTGAAATCTATTTTTCCTTCAATATCACTTCACATTATTATCTCAATTTATTATCTATTTTATGGAAAACAGTTATATTCTTAGGAATTTTATATAATACATTTCAAAAATTCAAATTGTACAAAGAAAGGGTTTCTAAACTTTCAAAAGTTTTTAGACATACAAAACTTTTAAGATCTTTCACGAATTTTGCGAATTTTTAATTTCAAATAATATTCAAAGTAATTTATTAGTAATTTTTATGTGACAGAATTATCGAAAATTTTTAGGGAAAAGATTTCCAAAAACTTTTCAAAGATCCGATTTCCATTTTCTACCACACCCTTGCTCTTCTTTTCTCCAATTGTCAATTACAAGATTATTTGCCCAGATCATTATCGACTCGATCAGCAGAATTTCCGTATACACGGATCCAGATAATAATCTGACGTCGTTTTTTCACGCGTGATGCACGCCTACACGTCGTTCCTTCGTGTCTTAATTCGATCATTCCGGTCTATCAAGGATCGAGGCGAATGAGAGATAATGCGAAATTCACGAAGCGTAAAGGTAGTTCAATTCGCCTCTATTTCGACGGAAGTTCCTGCTTTACAGACACGCAGCCATTGCGGTTGTAACGGCGGCTTCTACCGTTCTTACTACATGGGTGGACGCGTTTAACGATGCGAGCACTCGCAATAATGTCACGCACATGTGTGCGATGCAAAGTTGAGCGTAATCTCCCGTTGCGGAGATGAGTTTGGCGCACGATTTGCTCTACTCAAATATCTGCTAATATATACACACGAGGATCACGAAAAAATTGGCGAACGCGCTTCCGCAGGCGAAGGCTGCCGAAAACCGAAACTGCAACGATCAAATCCTTACTTAATAAAACAAAGTACTTTGTTGTTTAGTTATACATGTCAAGCAATTTCAATTAAATATCAATTAATTTTAAAGCTCAAGCGTGTAATTGATATTTTAAACAAACATAATATTGATAATATTGATTAAATAATTGATAAATCATAGACAGATAGAGCGATTAAAATCGCTAATATTCAATCGATCAAGAAAATGGATTGTTATACTCGACTGAGAGAAATTGCATTACAAAAGCACTGTTATCTGCTTCGGTATCGAGTATCAAACGCGGAAGAGATCGGGATCGGAATCACTTAGGCACGTTTAACCGATCTAACAATTCGCCACTTTTCTGGTTCATTGAAGATTCAGATGCAATCGACATGGGATGAATCGATAGACCACCATTGATGGAAGATTACACGACGGTTCATAGACGAACGATGATCGAGTGTAATTGAATATTTATTTAAATATTCCGCGGTCGCTTATCTCCGCGCGGGGAGTTGCACAGGAGGGAGGAGGGAGGGGGGAGGGCTAATGGCTCACTCTAATGATCCAATCAACCCGCGAACGCGCTGTGTCATTCGAAAAACGGAATGCGCGTACGATTAACGAAAGTGACTCATCATGCGTGTCGCGATGGGTACGATGACTGCTCGACAGTTTTGCAAACCTGTCATTACGCATAATTTTCGATCGCCACTGCGTGTGTCGGCGCTTGCCGCCAGCGATTCTCAGTCTTGCGATCCAAGCAGGATTTCAGATAATAATTCGATGGCAGATAAAACGGCGTTTCCGAAACAGGCCTACGACTGTTTGCCTGCAATCTGCACAGTTCCGAAGAAGTCTTATTTGTATTTGTTATCAGTCGCAGATGTCCCGTATTTGTCACAGTTTGTCCCATTTACCTTTTCAAAGCTACACGTTTATTGCACAGATTTGAATTAAAAAAAAACATTTTTTCCATTTGACAGGATTTAATGAAGCTTATTGATGTTGTTGATTTTTTTGAATTTGCGAGCGTTGGGCAAAATTAAACGCAATTGTTCAATTTTGAATATTAGACAGAAAGTAAATGTATGTATAAATATGTGTTGATCCTTGAGGAAAGGGTCAATTTTTATTGGCGAAATGTTAAGGCAAGTTCTCTTTCAGCTCTAAACCATACTGAATAATAGGCTCTTTTACATTAAGCTGACGCGAATAAGTGACGGAACGTTATTCGTCTCTTTCAATTCGAAATGCTTTAACGGCATTTTAACATGCTTACTGAAATACCAGAGATCGAGGTTAAAGAGTTAATGAAAAATGACATTTCTCCTCTTTATTTTTTAGTCAAAGAAGAAATTTTAGATTTTAATTTGTGACATCTTGCGCGAAGAATTCGAGGGCGCCGAAAGTACGAGAGTGAGATTTCGAAGAATCGCACTTGTGTAAACTAGGTGCTAAACAAGGTACCTCTTCATGCTGACGCTAGACATTCATTTTTAGCGTTAAAACAGATCACATGATCCAAATTGACGAATACAAGCGTTCAGCATCAACATGAAAAAATACCTCTAAGCGCGCCTTTAAAGAGATCACGCGGGATGAGATCCGTCCGATCCAGAATATAATCCGCGACATTCGAAATGTCGCAACCGGAAGAGAAATCGAGTGGAGATTCGGCCTCCGCGGAAGGTCAGGGACAATCAAAGCAGCGAGGGTTAGATGGTGATCCAAAGATGACTCCTGAGGAGTGGGCGGATGCTGCCGGTCGTCGAAGAGTTCTTGGCATGCCGCGGCCGGGTTTGAGGATCCGGCCGTGTCTCGGCTCTCCCGGCTCGGTGCCGGTCGTGCGTGCCGGCTGCGCTCCGTTCGCCGGTTCGCCTTTGCGGTGACCGCCGACTCCGGTCCCTCTCAGTCGCGGCGGTGGCATCCTGCTCGCAACACACGCCACAGCCCGATACGTTAAAGTGGCTGCCGCCGCCGCCGCCGCCGCCGTCGTCGTCACTTGCCTCCGACGCCGGTTTTTAATCGGATTGCATTTCCGGCGTGGATGAAGGGTGCTACTCTTTATCCCTCGCATCTCGGTAAGCCTTTCCGCAGCCGACGACTGCTCGATCGCGTCGCGTTTAACAAGCAACACAGTGACGCCAGTGAAAATCCAACAATTAAAAAAAAAAGTGAGAGAGATTGGTTTCTCTTTCGATCGAACAGAGATCCTTTGTTGGCCCTTTGTTGGCCCTTCTTTTCAAACTATCGGTGGTTTCTTTCGCGCGTTTCGACGTAAAGAGTGGATTGCCTTGAAAAAATGTGGTTGAGAGAAAACCGGTCGGAAAAAGTGCCGCCCCGTTATTTTATCGAACGTTAAAATTGAAATCTGGAGCAAGTATTCCATGGAGATTCATTTTTTTTTCTGCAAGACGGTGATTTTTTTTTTTATTTCTTCTCTCAGGAAGCGGCGGCTCCGCTTTGGCATTTAACGAGTTGCTTAAAATAGTCGTGATCGATGAGTCGGTATCGAATTAATGATCAACAATAAGCTGTCTGTGTCCCGTCTGGCGGAGGAGGTTCCCTCGAAACTCGCGGCCCGTAGCGTTTCGTCTTTAAGTGTGGCTTTAACTGCATGGCCTGTGGAAGTTTATGGCCGCCGGGAGGGTGGTGCGGCACAATACGTGGCATTTTTTCATTGTGAAAGGCGAGAAGTGCACCACGTGTGCGGACGGAAACGGCCGCGTATGTGGCTGGTGTGGCATTGACGAAAGAACGGTTGACCGAGCGTTGGAGAGTAAGTTTCTTTTCTTAGAGGAAGGATTTATTTTTGTCTCTGATCGCACGCGTATTTCGCGGAAATGCGGAGAGGTGACGATTGACAATAATTGAACGGTACAATAAAACGATATCTCGATCTTTTTTTTCCCTGCTTCGAAGAAATCGAGGAAAAAAAATTGTTCCTTTCCGCGGAAAGTTGCGTGCCCGCGCTTTAAATCAATTAACGCCAGTCACGTGCAGATTTACCGTGCCCTGTCGGCATAAAATGATTTTATTTGTCTTAGTAATATCAATAATCAACGTATCCCTTTCAACTTTGCTTTGCAGAATATTAAATATTCGCGCTCACACGCGTAGACACTCAATTCCAAGTAATCGAACTATTTCAGAACTTGCTGTTCTCCGTGAGGGGAAAAGAAGATATATTTTTTCTCTCACGTATCTTTGGATAAGATTTTTCTTTTTTTTTATACTTAATAATGCCAACAACTAAGATTTCGAGAATGCTTTTTGTGATAAGTTGAATTAAACTAAAAAAAAAAGAGAAGTTTATTGTATACTTTTCAAAAGAACGGAATTGCACGTTTATGATATAAAGCATAAAAATGTATATTCTGCATGGTTTTCATAATTTTTATAACTCGAACTTCCGATGATACAGTCATCTCCCCGCTCGTGTTGTCCAATCGCCAGTTTGCTGATGCGGCTCATTCAACCGGCGATTGCGGGCATGTCGATCGCAATGAACCGCAGGGTTAGTGCACTGCACCACCTTCTCACGATAGTGGTTCTTGTTCCCGCAGGCGTCGGGCTCGACGTATCCCGGCTCGCAACAACGAGTAACAAGAACGTGAAAACAAACGTTTGATTAAGTTGTAAATTAGAAGTTTCTCATGCAAGAAAACTCGGAAAATCATCGTCTTTTTCATCGTCGCTCCGTCAGACGCACTTAAAGTAGTATGAAGTATCGGAGCCAGAGAACGGCGGAACTCACGTATCAGTACTTGAGTCACTGATATGGAAAAACACGCCCGTGATAAAATATCGATCAATGACGTCCGGAACGGAGGCGCACTCGAGGGAATCAACTTGTAGGCTCACGTGCGCGCTCACGATAACTTCAAATTCGGGGTAAGTCTTCGGTGTTCCCACGGGGGTTTACTAGACCATGAAAGAGGGCTGTCTGACGAACGGCGAGGCGATTCGCCGTGGTCGCGAGAGAGTCGATGACTCCTCTACGGTCGTCCCCAGCTTACCGGTCGATCGAACGGTCTCTCTCTTTCTCTCTCCCGCATCTCGTCCCCTCGATTCGAGTCACGACCGCGGCGATCTGGCCGTAGCCGTGATCGTTAGCGGTCAGCCGACGTCGATTCCGCATGTCTCGCCGTCTATAGGAACAATTAGCGAGAGCGACATGTCCCCACGTCGAGAAAGCTTCCTCTCCTCCGCTCACGAAAGCAACGGCGGCAGTAGCTTGATCTCGGCGACACGCACTCGTCACGTCGCTATAATGTAAACCGACGTTTCCGCGACCGACCAACCATAATGCATTTCCAGACACCCGATCGTTTTATTAGGAGACTTTCTCGCGCACTTTTAAGAACTCCACGTGGCTGGAGAATACGATCTTCCGATATACATAAAATCGTCTGACATATGAACTAGTTCTATTTTCTGCATGAATATTTTTCGAGTGACGACAATTTAATTTTCTTCGAAGTTTATATATGTATATATAAACGTTGCACACATGTATTTTTTTTTAAGTTTCTCTCTGAAATAAATTATCAAAATTACAACATAAATCTTATATATGTAATTTTACATATAGAAGCACTTTATCAGTCTATATAAATTAAAGCGCGTAGAAATCTGATTTTCTATAAAAACATGTTTTCACTGAAATTGAAAACTAATCTGTTTTAATAAACGTAGATAGACACACAGAGTGATAAAAAAAATTATTGGGCAGCACACGGTCCACGAAATTCCTTATCTTAATTTTTCACAATTTATATAGAAGTGCATCTCCCTTGACCTTTTCGCGATTGAACATTATAAATATTAATTATAAAAACTAATCAATATATTTGCTTCCCAATATGATCCACGAATGAATTTCAGAACAGTCGTTGTACAAAGTCACAAAATTTTCCGACAATCATCAGTACGTCTTTCATCTCCACTGTTTTTGCGACGCATCGTACATGCCTTTAACTTTTTTTCATTTTAAGTCCACCTTGACCTAAAGCGCGCGGCATTTCATCGATTCCTCCGGTATTAATCGGCTAGACCGAGCCACGCGGACGCTGCGAACGCCACGGCAATCTAGCGGCATCCAGCGCGTCGCGGCGCAGCACCGACTTTCGGCTTAAACCGGTTCTCCCGCCTCTCTTACGCGCACGCTCATTCGTGCACGTCATTCCGGAGCGTATCCTTTAACGGGACGAACACCGGGATTTCGTGGATTCGAGGAGTTGTGCGTGTAATCGCGATTATCTCTACCGCCGCGCCGGTCGACTATCGCGGTGCTCCAATCTCGTGGACGCGACGAGTCGACGGAAGTCGCGAAAAGCTTCGACTGCGAGACAGCTCTCTCAAAGCGTCTGACGCGAGACGACGAGTTTTCTTCTTTACTTCTTTTCGCACGCGTGATAGCGAAAGACCCGCGGAAAGAGTAACTGTAATCGATACACGGTTGCACATCTGCGCGTTGCCTTTCTAAGTTTCTCGAGCAGTTCCGAGATTCACGGCCGTTCCTGTCTTCGTGTCTTCGCGGTATCGCGGTTGGCGATTCCGTGTGCGGTATAGGCGACGTTTCGGGTACAATTTTTGCATCTCTTTGGAAAATACGTGGCTCATATAATTCGACAATTCTTCAATATATTTCGTAATCAGACAACTGACGTAAATTTGAAGATACAGCGTGACTTGTTATAAGTGCAGACTAAATGAAAAATATGCACGCCGCGTCCAATAAAAAAGATATATAGGTGCTGTGTTGACGTGCGATATGCTTTAACGAGAGACGTAATTGGAAGGGTGATTAATGTAATCCGCGGGTAATTTAATAACTGTGCGAGAAGCAATCTGATATCGGATCGAGGCGAGCTCACCGCCGTCCGTCGCATTGTGATAACGCCGCATTGTGTAAGTTAACTGACCTATGAAAGAATTTTTAAGGGAAGTTACGCGTCTCTAACGATCCCACGTGATTACGTGTGAACGGAAGCGGGCGTGCGAGAATTTGCTTAGATGCCTACCCGCGGCGATAACGATCGCCGGCGATCCTATAAATAATGAATTAGTAAAGCGCGTATTATTACACAAGTTCAATTATCCACTCCGATTGCATTATCTTTTGAGAATCGACCCTCGGAATATTCGAGATATTACCTGCAGGAAACCTGTCGCGCCGGCGCGAAAGAATCGCCGTTATTAAATGTTACGCGCCGAATTGCAAAATTATGTTAATCCTCGTCAGCGATTATTCTTCAAGAAGAAGGAAAACGTTTATTCTTCCACGGACGACGCGTGTATTATACGAGAAAAATCGATGAATTTGCATGCAACCTTTGCGACTCGATGGATTATATGCAAAGATTCGACGCAAAAGTGCCTCGTTATACTCAAAATTGTTTTTCTGTCGATACGCACTTGGCATATGTTAGCCGGCTGGAAACCGGTTTCGTCAAGGGTTTCGAGCCTTTGTCTACGCCGATTTGGCAGGATATAAATTAGACATAACGACGTGGATGCGATTTAGAAAGGGCGCACAAGAAACGCACGAGGAATCCCTTTTAAAACGGTCGAATTTCGTTCCGTCTGCGAGAACTTCGCTCGGAACTTCGTCTTTCAGTCAAGAAAAGTTCTGGCAAACGTTTCCTGACTGAAACTTTCGCTAGAACTTCGTTCGTCGCGCACAGTTGCTTGCTGAGAAAACATTTTTTTTACATATTTTCCCAGCAAACATTTGACCGCGAAGATTTGGTTTGGTTTAATAATATGGATAGAAGAATGACAGCGAAGTAAAAACGTCGTTCGAGCGCATCAATGCTGCTGCCAATTGTTAATTATAAATAATTATAAATGCATAAATGCAAATCTTTAATTACAAATAATGTATAAAATACTCGCGCGAAACGGATTTGTACTTCTGGGCGCGATCGTCAAAATAACAGAACCGGCGCGGCGCAGCGCGGCGCAAGTTAATTCTCGCTGTAGAAGGAGACGTTGTAACGGCGCCGGGTTCTCATTTCTGGACAGGTCGTCCGCTCGTACATTTCACGACTTTCTAGAGATATGCACAGAGCCGGCTTTGTTCCCATTTCCGTTAATCGCAGGTCGCACGAACGGGCATTAAATACCGATCATGCAGAAAGATTTTTCTTAAGGCTGTCACACAATGCCCGTCGACCCGCGAATAATTGCCACAACTTATTAAAAGAACCCGGGGCTCCTTCCAACCGGAAAGATACCGGCCGGATAACCGTAAATTACGCAATACTTATAACCGTAAGAGCGAGATACGGTAAAATACAGTTTAGGTACAAATAAAAGTAGCATGTAAAAATACCTAACTGGAAAAAAGAATAGAATCTTATCGTAATTACTATAATTGACTTGCGCCATTAAGGCCCAGGCCGATACAAATCGACGCACTGCACGCGCGTTAACCTCGCGATTATTCGACATTATAATTAAGTGTTCACGCATCGTAAGCAACGCTTGACGGTGAAAAATGTCTATTAATTGCTGACGTCGTCGATTTGAGTCGCCAGCGCCTAGCACGCGTACGACCTCATTTTTCAAAGCCGACGCAGAGTTGTACATATTAGATTCGATTTCCTCGTGATTGTTAATTCGACAACTCGTCTCGATCGTTTATAATTTTCTTTGGTTTCAGATTATCAAACGCGCTCGCATTCCCACCGGATATTTTCCGTCGTTCCAAGGCCGCGATGCGACATGGCCATCTTTAGCACTTCGAAGGAAAAGTTTGACGTAAGTTTTCGCTTGTAAGCCTGTCTTTATATTTATCTAATAATTGGAGTTACTGCTCAATACTAATGCATGAAGGATAACGAAATTTGAGGATCTTGTGTAAAAAAGGAATGACTAATCGGCTAAAAGGCAACTTCGCAAAGTGAAACGGAGATCAAACACAGTCAAAGTTTGTTTTAGTGAATAAGTTAGGACATAAATCAAGGTCCCACGCTCGTAGAATTCGTTTAAGACCTCAAATATGTTTTTGCCTAGACAGGATATCGTTATTTCTGCTAGAAACCTGTCTTTTACGAAAAAATTCTTAGAAAGTGTTATTTTAAGATACAAAGTTTGCAGCGTTATTGACAATATACGTAATATTATAACAGCACTTCTCAAATTACAACAAAATATGACATAATAATAAATAACAGCAAACAAATAACTAATATATTATATGAAATTTTAATAAATTATTATATCCATTAACAGCATTTATTAAAATAAAACAAATATATTAACAAAATAATTAGAATAGTAACACATACAATAATGAAAAATATACATTTCTAGAGAAAGAATAATAACAGAAATAGAAATAGGCTAAACAGAACATAAAAAATCTTGAAAAAATAAAATTTTATTTAAAGGAAGCCTAAATAACGTGAAATTATTTCCATCCACAGAATGAAATGTTTTACGTTATAAAGAAAATCTCTTCGTTCTAATAACGGACAGAGCGATGGGATTGGAAGGGTATCCTCTGACGAGACTAATTACTATACCTGAGTCGACGATAGCGGGCACCATGACGAGGATGAACCCGACCGAAGACCCAGGGACCCCTAAAGAGTGCAAATGGGAGAGGTGACGTATCACCCAGTGATGCGTAAACGGCGTGGAGTGGGCAGCGCCTTTCTGGGCCTCTTCGTGGGCCTGATCCTGGGTTTTCTGATCCTCAGCTACCGGCTGATCGTCTTCAATCAGCAGCAACAGGTCGCCATTTGGACCTCCATACCCGCATTACGGTCGACGCCGAAAACGTCGGCGCGAAACATGCCGTGGCTGAGGGACGACGAGCGAATCAACAGCTCGACTTCGAATCTGGTGTTTGTGGGCGTGATGACGGCTCAAAAGTACTTGGACACGCGAGCCAAAGCCGTCTACGAGACGTGGGGCAAGGAGCTGCCCGGCAAGATAGTCTTCTTCTCGTCCGAGTCCTCGACGGTTCCCGAGAACTGTCCGGATCTGCCCCTGGTGCCGCTACCGCGAGTGGACGACACCTATCCGCCGCAAAAGAAGTCCTTTATGATGCTGCAGTACATGTGGAGCAACTTTGGTGATCGCTTCGAGTGGTTCTTGCGGGCGGACGACGACGTGTACGTGAGGACGGACCGGCTGGAGACGCTGCTGAGGTCCGTCGATTCCAGAAGGGCGATGTACATCGGACAGGCCGGCAGAGGGAACTCGGAGGAGTTCGGGCTGCTGTCGTTGGAGTACGACGAGAACTTCTGCATGGGTGGCCCGGGAGTGGTGCTGTCCAGGGAGACGCTGAGGAGGATCGTGCCGCATATCAAATACTGCCTACGCCATTTGTACACCACTCACGAGGACGTCGAGCTGGGAAGATGCGTGAAAAAGTACGCTGGGATCCCCTGCACTTGGAGCTACGAGGTAATTCCTTTTCGATCATAATATTAACAGAATGACATTATACTATACTCTATAGTGTGAGATCATATTTATTACAAGAGAATCGTTATTTGCAATAAAATTAAGAAATTTTCCTAAGGTGAAAAATTTATTTTTGTCAGAAAATATTCTTAAAAATATTTTTAAAGATTATGAAATACCTTCTTCTTTTTCCTCGATGTATTCTCGATTTTCTAAAAATATAACTAAGTATAGCTTGAAGATAATTCTTTTCGAATCAAGAATAATTTTTATTTGTTAATGAATTATAATAAATAATAATAATAATAAAATAGAAACGAGGAGAATGTTCGGAGGATTTATTTGTAAAATTGATTAATTTCTTCTCTACGAAGAATGCTTGAACTTCGCCATCGATTCGTTCGTTTTATCATTGAGAGCAAGTACGTCGTAGTAGATAGGTAACCAAAACATTTTATCTTATCGTGAGTCGACAAAAATACATGCCAGATGCTATCTCGCTGATTGCCAAAACATTATTCCACCTTGGTCGCATACATACCTACTCTTCAAAATCACTTTCCTCAGGTTTTGAAACGCGATGACATAACTTCAAGGAAACTTGGTCAATGCGACATCCGATTTAAAGCATCCAAGCTAATTGTAATGTTAAACGTTTCTTCAACGTTTTCCATTTCCAACCAATCCATCCAACAATTCTATTATTGTATCGAGAGTTTCCGTTACAAAAGGTCTTCTTTTGTTTTTCTTGTACAAACTACGCGACCACTTAGCTGGTTTCATTGCCACTCACGTGATACTAGACCTATTCTGGTCGTTCAACAATATCTTCCTCTCAGACTCCACCGTGTGCACTCGCAGAAACGTATGTACGCGACACGAAACGATTTGTTGATTAACACATACACAAGGAAGATTAGACGCCGCGCCGGTTTATCCGACGTTGCACACACTTCCACTCGTGCGCTTCTCAACTCGCAACGATCGGGCGGCTGCAAGCCAACGTGCAAATTGTGCATTGCAACAGTTACGCTCTGATCTCAAAATATCATCTTTTGCTCAAAAATGTTGGAGAGCTAAATAAATTTTTTAAGGATGCCTTATACACGTGATATAATTTTTATTTTTTCTTTATATATAAACATGCAACAATCGCTCGCAATTGAATTACGTAGTAAAATCTAAAAGTTTCCAGCCTGAGGATGTAAAAAAGATGATAGAATGAAAAATCACTTTTATTTTTTAGTGGTTTTTTTTTATTTCAGTACATTTTTAGAACATTGAATTCATTTTTCTACACCACTATAAGAAAGGTCCTTATGTGAGTTGGAAACTTTAAGATCTTATAATTTAAAAACGTCCCGAATATTTCCCTCGCAATTATCGATAATAATTGACAATGAGCTATTTCCATACAGAGCATATCGTCGTCTCAGAATGTTAAAGGGTTAATTTCCTTTAAACCGGTTAAATCCCAAATTAAATTATGCGTAACTTGATCGGGGAATCAGGGCGTGATGCTCACATAAATGGGCGTACGCCCGCACGTCATCGTCGATTTAAATACATGAATCGCGCGCATCTGCATTCATGTATGTGCATACCGGACACGTTCGCAGCGGATTAGGTCGGAAGGTATAACATACAGATGAGGATGTTGTTGAGTAAAAGTGAATTGTGGTCCTGCTAACCCAGTGGCCAGATCGGGCCATTCTTCTTCGTTAGTTACTCGCGGCCATATATTAGACTGTACCGCTTAAGTAACAATTTGTCCATATACGAAGTGCTTCCAAGTGCACGTCGCGATAAAGTAGAATTGATGCGCGAATTCCAAAGAGGATTCGAATAAAAGGCTACGCGGAATTTTGTAATAAAACAAAAAAATCTGCTCGACAAGAATCACAAAATTTAATCGAGTATCGCAAATTTGATTTTTAAGAGAAAATTTATAATACGCATGTAAACATAAAATAAGTTTCTAATTGATAAAAATAAAAAGTAAAAATTCTGTAACTGATAGTGTGATAAAGCTGCATGTTTATTTTGCGAAATAACGTTTATTATCCTTATACAAATTAAACAATTTAATCGCGAGAGTAAATTTCGAAGGAGGGACGAAAATTTTCATCTTATTGTTAGATAAAACTTCATTTAAAAATTATGCACGTCCTTCTCAAAGCAGACGTGTCAACAATAATCGCAGCAGAGACGTCATTGAAAGCGGCGACGATAAATTTAGCGGAGCCCGCATGAGTAAACGCGTTTAATAACGCGTTTCATTCGCTAATAATCGTCCATTATTCATCCGGAAAGGTGGAAGCGCGACGGTAACATCTCGCTATCACGGCCGCGATGCACTTGCGTGGGTGCGTGCGATGCACGTTCATATCGCCGCCGCGGACGAAAGGTAAAGTGCACGGATGAGGATGTCACTCGTTAGGCCCGGACAAATCGTAGCCTGCTGACCCACTGGCTAGGCCATCCGTTCTCGTCTTGACACTCGACGTAAGGTCGAAACACTTAACAATTCCGTCCCGATGCAACACCCGCGCAACGGTATTCGCCGCGACTGCGGCCGTTCAAATGCAGCGTGCGCGCGTACAATGCGTGCCGCGATTGCAGATTGATCGAAGCGTGCACGAGACTCATTGTCAATAAGGAATTTACGGCAGTGGGTCAGGCCTTTGTTACGGCATCTTTTGACGCCGCGTCTGCTACGCGGCCGTCAGAGCGATCAATAATTGGCGCTGCGATATTGCGCTTTAATCCCGCGAGATTAGCGGTCTTTAACGGTGCTGGGGAAAGAAAACAGAGTTTATCTAATCTAAATGGGGTTAGTACATCGCTCTGTTATTTCGTGGAATAGTTTAATGAAGTAGAAAGGAGAATTACGATTCGAACGTGTTATTCCACAGAAACCTTGAAAGGATCCAAACGTCAAAATGAAATTTGTATGATGAAATTATATAAAGTGTCAATTTAATTCTCAATACTGTCAATTTTAATTCTCATACTTAATAATCGCATTTTTTTAAATGATTATTCCACCTTCTTTCGACGAGTCTTTCGAATCGGAAGGCGCTTTTCGAAAAAGCGCAACATTTTATGGAATCCAAAGAGCGAAATTGATTTCTTTACATAACTGCCAGAGCGAGTCACGCGAGCGACTTTTCGAGACGCCCGTCGTCGACCGTCAAGCAACGCCGATGTAATTCTGCGAAACACGATACCACCACACCCAGCATTATGATTAACACCCGTGCCGCGAGTTTGGCGTTTCGGTACTGCAGGCGTTGCGCTCCGAATAGAACGTTCTTAATGGTAATTATTATAGGCCGCAGTGCGCGCAGGTTATAGGCAGGAAGTTCGTACTTTAACTCCGCTTCTCTCTGCCCGCGTGCTAATTGCACGTTTGACGAATGCGCACCGCTCGCGCGTGCACATTCCGACATTCGGGACGGATTAATATACCGGGCTCGCGCGGAATCGGCAGATACCATTGTCGCGTTGATCGAGCGCGAGCGCGTTCCAATCGGATAATTCGTCGTTCTTAAATTAGTTTCGGCCGCAAGCGAGGCGCGTGAAAACCGAGTAGGTACAGGAGAGACGCGAGTACGAATATGAGTATGTTTCAATACAAAAGACTTCGTCTGCTACTTTAATTATTCATTAATTATTTGTGTTATTTAATTATCACTATTAATTGGATTATTAATTGAATTTTCTTAGTTATATATTTAGTTCGTAGATTAATTTATTTATCAGCAAAATACGCAATGGATTATGAGCAAATTGAAATACAATTACAACAATTCGCTTTAATTTTTTTTTAAGAATGAAGTTTTAATGATTATAATTATCGAATGAAGTCCCATTATATCTGTTAAATTGTTAAAAAGAAAGGAAAAGACGCGGGGAAAAGAGAAAAATTATTTAAAATGATTAGCATGTATCGTGCGATAGAAATAAACTATAGCTTTATCGCTGCTAAACCCTTGAAATTGACGATGCTCATGAGTACACTCGTGATGTTGCCGCACAGATGCAGTCGATTCTTTATCACAACAGCAGCGGGGCCCAGGCATTCACCGGAAATCTTAAGAAGAAGGAGGTTCATCGTGCCATCACTTTGCATCCTGTGAAAAGTCCGCCTCACATGTACAGGCTGCACAATTACATGAGGGTAGGTATATCGCATCGAGTATCATAATTACGGTAATCGCTGCACCAGAAAGAACTGCATTGCCTATCCGTGAACTGTTAAGTAATCTGATAACCGTTATGCTGGCAAGCGAAGTAACGCGAGCGATGCGAGGAGAAAATCGCGAGATTCTTGGCTCTACTTCTTGACGTCGTATCGTTGCCGCTTCGGCGCTAATCCGTTTATTTATAGTCTACTATTAACAAATTATCTTGCTAAAAATTATACTGTGCATGGATTACGTCAGGGACTGCGAATACAAGACCTGCAGCAAGAGAGGATCCGTTTGCACAGGGACGTTTACACCATGGCCCAGGTGTTGGGGGTGAGCCTGGAAGCCTTGAGGAATCACGAGATAGCGGAGGGCGTGCGTCTCTTTCCGGTCGATCCTAATTCCGAGGATTATCCCGGCGACACGGACACACTGGGTATGATTTCTTACTTCCGTCATTGCAAACCGGCGCGGCGGCAAAAGCCGAACCCCATGCATGCGTCGCCCCATACGGGACTCGTCGCCCCATACGAGACTACACGCATACAACTGTGCGCTCTCGTTATATTTATCTTCCGTCAACGAGGGTAACTCGTCGTGAGAATCATTTTAAAGATTGCCCTTTAGATTTACGGGTTATAAAATAACGCGTCTGCTCCTAATTATAGCAATTACTGCACGCTTGTTTTTATACTAACGCGTTGCACGCGTTCTTTCTAACAAGAGTATTTCGTCGATCCCTCCCTAGGCTCGTAAACATATGCATAACGACTGTTTATCTAATGAATATTCCGCATTGTTATACGCTCTCGCTTACTGCACGTCCATAAATTATCGTCGTTTCCCCTATTTAAATTTTTCTACAGCCTCCCGTGTCATAATAAAGTATCTTTAGAACGATAATAAACTACCATTTTTCCGTTGTAAAACTTTTACCGTATGTTGCTGCTAAATTAACGCTTCCGCGTTTATTGCGTATACCCCACGCACGAGCGACTACAGTTATTTGTCGCCTTAATGCGTGACTTGCAACTGACGTGTCATCGGGACAACGCGTCTCACGTCGTATCCCAAAGGGATTGTAAATCCATTTGAAATCGTATACGCAATCTCGGAGACGCGGAGAATCATGATGCATGACTTTGCATCGCGTCGCGCTGTATGGCATAGCTTCTCGCGTTACATTTCATCGACGGCGTTCCGCTCGCAGATTTAATCTCATGAGGAATAAACAAGCTGAAGAGACCTGTGCGAGTTTCAATACTGACAAAAATTCATAATCTTATAAATTCTTGATCTTCAAAAGCTGCAAGAATTGATATTGTCAAATTTTTTACTTTCAGAATTAAAAAAAAGAAACAAGTAAATAAATCAATTAAACAATTTTAAAGAATTTTTATTTTAGTAGTTGTTAGTTCTTATTAATAAAATATATCAATTCAGCTTGATTACTCTATATGAATTGATGGATACAGTATGAGATTAGAACTAGATATACACACTTTGTATTAAGCTATTGTATCAGATATAAACGATTAAGAGAGCCTTCTTTTATCATTACTCGTCATTAATCAAATATTTTTATTTTTCACATTTCTCAAATTCGTGATGGTCGTATTATCGCGTTGACTCATATATAACTCGTACACACGAGCATGACGCAATAAATTAGAATTAACCGACTGAAAACTGAGGCGGGCATAGTCTGCCAATAAAGTTTGTAATAGAGGTTGCGGTTCAAGGAACACCAAGATTCTAGAGAGGAAACTATCACATTTACTTGCTTCCCCCAATTAATTTTCTATCATTTTTATAACACTTGGTACAAAAAACGTGATTTTCATACTAAACGTATTGCACTGATAATCACGGATTTTCAATAGTGCATATTTTAATTTTCAAACTTTTTAGAATTTTTGAGCTGTCATGGATCACGAATTTGCGTCGAATTTTTAAAAAAGCATCAAGTTTCGACACTCGATGTTAACGATGGGAACCGGTCGGATTCATTGATTCGCAGAATAAAAAATTTTGTTTGTGCAGGTGTGCCGGCGAGTCTCCGTTCGTTCAAGCCGGCAACGAGCGATGAAGTGATCCCTTGGGACTTCCTCTTGAAATTGGAATACAGCTTGACCGATTCTAATCCCAGGCGACGTATTCACAGCGACATCAAAGAGGGCCTGGAGGATATCACTAGGGAGGTCATGGCTTCGATTAATTCCTATTCAAGGCAGCGGGGTCGCATAGTCGAAGAACGATCCGCTCTTTACGGATACAGAAGGGTGAATTCCTACGGGGCTGACACAATATTAGATCTTCTGTTGGTCTATCGGAAGTATCGGGGCAGGAAAGTCACTCTTCCCGTCCGAAAACACGTTTATCTCCATCAGCATTTTACCGGTATGTTTTACAATCGTATCATTACATAGAAAACTAGCTTGATTTTTTTAATATCTCAGAAATATATATTTTTTTTCTGTCCCGAAAATAATAATGTTAAAGACAGCCTCTGCAGATGTTCAAGTGACTAAATTATGGAATTATATTTGAAATATTATTAAAGTAAAGCCGTTATTAAAGCACTATAGCTTAAATTTAACAGACGTTAAATGTTCTTGCAGGATTAGAGATACGCGAGACAGTAAACGGCGTCGAAGTTCAACCTCGGCAGGAATCGGACGACAAATCTATTCGCAACTTCCTTCACGGTGGTTTCCTGAATCTCAATTTCAACTCTCGAGCGGAAGATCCGGTGCAAAGCAAGATCATCAACTTTATCCTACCTCTGTCGGGCCGCTACGAAATTTTTCGAAGGTTCCTCCAGAATTACGAGGATATCTGCTTGACTAGCGGCGAGAAGACGTCACTGCTCGTCGTGCTCTACCAGCACAGAAGCGAGAACACCTTCAACAAAACGATAGATCTGATCGAGCAGCTCAAGTACAAATATCGCAGTGCCAGCATAGAGGTTCTACCGGTCGCCGGGGACTTTTCCCGAGCCCGAGCCCTCGACTTGGCCGCGTCGAGGCTGCAGGTCGACGATCTGATGCTGTTCATCGACGTGGACGTCGTGTTCACGGGCTCGGCGCTGAACAGGATACGCCTGAACACGCTGCCGGGCCGAAGAATGTACTTTCCGATAGTCTTCAGCCAGTACGATCCCAAAGTCGTTTACGGCGACGCCAGGAGGCAGGACAAGTTCACCATAAACGAGATCTCCGGACACTGGAGGCAGTATGGCTTCGGAATTGTTTCCCTGTACAAGAGCGACTACCGCACCGTGGGCGGTCTGGACCTCTCGATTCAGGGCTGGGGCAAGGAGGACGTGGAGTTCTTCGAGAAGGCGGTCAGGTCGGGACTCGACGTATTCAGGGCGGCTGACAGGCACCTGGTGCACGTGTATCACGAGATAGAGTGCAGCCGGGAGCTCTCCAGCCTACAGTACTCCATGTGCATGGGATCCAAGGCTGACACGTACGCCGGAGTCGAGACTCTGGTCAACATGATTTACGGTAACCCGAACATACTACGCTTCGCCAAAGAGAGGAGACAGAGAAGGACGAATCCTGCTGGTTAACGATGGATCTGCCAAATTATCGGCCCCGTCGAATACAATTTTAGAATTAGAAATTGTGTGTGTAAAAATATTTCTCTCGTTACGCACTCGCTTCAGTCACGCGAACGTAACATCGATTGAATTAAATATCCAAGCACTTTCGGTGCCAGAGTATCTCGTTAGTCATACTATTTTGTGTAAATATGAAGTATAATTGTGTGAGTCGCGCAAGCAAATCAATACACTCTGATATTTTATTGTATGGCGAAATGTATATATCGAAGCTTTAATCGAGAACATAATTTTTAAGAATTGAAACATCATTGGTATTACGATTTTTAAAGATAGATCTGGCGATCGATAAAGATCACCAAAGTCACTGCAGGCATCCCTGATGAAAAAATTTTCATCTCACACATAATATTTTTAAGAATTTTTCACATTTTATGTTTATGAAGATTTAAAAAAAAATCTTAAACTACTTTAGATTTTGTAAGTTTTTTTCCAGAAATTATACAATGAAAAATCTTAGAAAGAAAATAGCTTTCTGCATTTCAAAAAATATTCTAACTTACAAAAAATTTGAGAAATTTTTTAAAAAGTTATCAAATTATACATATAGAAATTGTGAAAAATTTTAAAATTTATACAGAAATTCTGAAAAATTATATGAAAAATGTTCACCAGGGATGCTAATAGATTATTAATGAAAATTTATTACGTTAAGGAAGTATATATGGTTTGTCGTTGTTTAGTTTATGAGATGATATTATTCTCTATCGCCCAATGATCTTTCCTTTTATTGAGGCTAGAAACAGACAAACATTGTTTCCTCTTGCAGATGCACTCGCCGACAGTTCTATATATAGGAATCGAGCGTAATGACATGCATTTATAAAATCGTCAGTCTAGGTAGTAAATTTAAGTGTTATAAGTAAATGTGATATTATCGTGCCTTTAAAATATTCCTTCACAATTTCATGTACTGCCAAATGTAAAGACACTGTTACGACTATTTCGTCACGTAGACGTACGTAGATTCTAAATTGTCGGATTGTGCGCTTCGCATTTTATATATTTACACGTAAAAAGGCCTCTGTCTGCAACAATTGGAATAATACTCACGCTTTATTAAATAAAATTTTTATGTTAAGTAATAATATCATTTTAATACTCGTCATTCCTCTAAACTAAAATAAAAAATGTATATAAATTACTCGCAAAATTTTTCTTGAATGTTATTATTTTAAATAAAGTACACATTTAATTATTTAAACAACGCAAAATATATGTAAAATGTTATTAAGACGTTATTTTTACTTATTTATTAATTTACTTCATATATAGATAATCAATTCATTTTATATTGTCAAAGTGTCATAAAACATTTAATTAGTGTTCTAACGTTAACTTTAAATACAAATTCTTTGAGAACGTCATTTTTGAGCGGATTTCCTAGTATTATTAAGGTATTTTTATCTTTGCAGATTAAAATATACAAAATTTAAATTTAATTAATGTAACTGATTATCTTGACGCGATTATGATTTTGCTAATTTACCGCAGTGGCAGCCTTTCTTTGTTATATAAAAATATTTGATAATTACAAGTGCTAAACAAATTTTTTTGGATATGTATGAAATCTTGGAAATCAGTTAACTCTGTTTGGCGTCAGTACATTATTATAACTTTCTTATCGATTTATTTAAAGTAATTGGTATTAACAAGAAGTCAATCGTTCATCGGATTTATCCTAAGGAGATTAGATTACAGATTTTCTGAGAAATCCTGTAATCTCAGAAACGCGAAGCGGGTCAAATTTCAATTAAAAATAGCTGCCGTGTTTATGAGAATTGAAAAATAAATTGATTTAATAACACACGCTACATGTGATAAGTTATCGAGCTTTCGAGTTTGACGCAACGGAAGGAAAACAAATAGCCAGAAACGCAGCAGCAATAATTTATACGATTTGTTTGACAATAGATAATAACAAAATATTACTTCGCGGAAGAGAAGCGCGATATTTCCTTATGTGGTGCATTGCACCATGAATATTCAGAACTGATGAACACTGTGTGGTTTAGATGGACAACAAATATTATAAAATAATTCTTATCACATCGTTGCGCAAAATATTCCAAAGTATTCTACTAGGCGTTAATTATACAGCATCTTTGAAATAAAAGTAAAAACAATATGTCGCGTTAATAATATTAAATTAATGTAAAATTAGAAATCATTTCTTCCCTTTTTCTCTGAGAAATTTAACTGATGTTATAACAAAAAATAAAATGTCAAATATCTGATTTTATATTAAAATTTTTTATACTTTTAATTTTTATGGATTGTACAAGCATCTTTGTGAGCTGTCTTTATTCGTGATTTGTTTTCATGATCTAAAGATCCCAAGAATTGCACGCATGTGGAGAATTTCACTGAAGGAGAGACTGCGTTGTTTTTCTCGAAGAGGTCGATAACACCGGAACACATCTTCGACGTTTTTATCTAATTATGTTTGTCTTAAAGACTGTTAATGACCTCCTCGAGAACGTCACTTTTATAAGTATAAAATTCTTGTGGAAGCTATGGGAGATCTACATTAAGAATGCCGAGATCGCGATGCGACGCGCGACAACGAAAAGGCTGTCTTATCGGTTCGCAGTTTCATTACGGCGTCGGTAGATAATAGCGTATATCGCTCAAGCTCAAGGTCGCCTGTGGCATTAGCGGCAGGCGGCGCATTTATAAGACAGAGTTCCGCGTGGATCCTCAGTGCGATCGTTGTCAACACCTTATTACGCCACGTTACGCTCCGGAAGAAAAAACACGAGATCATTAATTTATCTCAAATTCGAACGGAGAGGCGGGTAATTAAAAATGTTTTGAGTAGTCGGTAGTCACTCGAGCGTAGTTCTTTATCAGAAGCAAGCGATAACGACAAACATCGGTTCCGAAATTAAAGTTGTTAAAGTTGGAACAGTGCCGAATTAAATGCGAAACAGTGAAAAATAAATTCATCGTTTTAAATGTCAGTTTTAAATGTCCTACTTCAGATGACACAAAGTTCAAAGTCGAAATGTCGAAGACATTTTAGAGACGTCTAAAAGATATATTAAAAATATATTCGTGAGAATCGTCTAAAAGACGTCTTCCGATTTTAGATTTGTGTGTGTTGTCTGGGTGTAGACATTAATCTAAAAGTCTATCTACAAGATTACAAAGTATTAAGGCTTAAGCCTGATTGGATTATTCAACAACTGAATAATTCTTGAAGAACAACATCAAACAGCTGTTGGATTAAGGCTCTTCTCGAGTTAGCTGCTCGATTCATCCGAGCAGTCGCTCAATTAGTGATTCAAGTGATCGGCAAAGACGATTTTTTTATATTTGTCAGGTAGCCTCGGCGAAGAATGGGGGGATCGTGGGTGATCCTGTTTGTCCTGACGGTCGTAATCGTCCGTTCGCCGGTGGAGGGGAAGATATTCACGCAATGCGACGCCGCAAAGGAGCTGGAGCGGGCTAAAATCAGTAAGACCTTAATCAGCAACTGGGTCTGCCTGATGCAAAGCGAAAGTGGGATGAACACGGCGCTGTTAACTGGTCCAAAGACAGCCTCCAGCTATTCCCATGGCATCCTTCAGATCAACAGCGCCAAATGGTGCGTCAGGGGACGCGCAGGTGGCCTCTGCAATAAGCGCTGCGAGGACTTCCTGAATGACGATATACAGGACGACATCGCGTGCGGCAAGAAGATCTTCGATCGGGACGGATTCAAGGCTTGGGACGGCTGGATGAAGAAGTGCAAGAGCAAACCGCTGCCGAATCTCGCGCATTGCACGCGGAGGAGAAGAATGGCGACCGAGAGCGAGGCGGCCGAGATCGAGGCTGATCCGGTCCTGTGATGACTAGGTGATTGTGACGCTATTCGACACATTGACTGCAATCGATGCGGGGCTCGAATCGATTTTGCTCTCAATTTCACCGCTTCCGTAAAACCGTTGCACATATATATCTTTTGTAATCTTTCACGAATTATTTACTAGCTAAGCGCTTACGTAATCGGTTCTATCAGATTGCATTCCAACAGATTGCATATCTGTGTTTCCATTAAAGGAATTCTTCTAATTGCGCGCATCGTACCCGACGAACGCAGTACGTTGCACAAACAAAGTTTGCGCCGGTATGCTTTATAAATATGGATCTAAACCGATTGGATCGGCGCCACTTGTGACGCAAGGCTTTACGACCGTCTTAAACCCACGTTGCACGACCTGATGACAGACGACACTACGCAAAATGATTTAGAAATTCCAACTGTTAAATCGGAAAATCGTACGTGATAAGATTTAGCTGATGTCTTCCCGATTTCATCTCTTTATACTCATGTTGCGTGTATGGCATTTAAGAAAATCGTTTTTGCTTCCAAGCCCGAGTGTCGTATCTACGACATTCAGAAATAAGTCTTGTGTAACTAAAATATGTATGTTAAAGTAAGTTTTTAAAAGTTGCTTAAAGAAAAGAATATAAAAATGTTACGCAATGCAAGCCAGTAATTTTGTGTTAAAAGTAATTTATAGCTAAATAATGTCAATTTTAAATCAGATAATACGTAAATAACGTAATATAAACATGTAATATAATTAAATTTGTGAATACTTTTTAATACACTTATAATTTAACTATTATATTTATATATTATTATAATAAAGGAATATATTAAATGGATAATTATATGTATACTATATATATTTTATATATATACATATATATGTATATTTGTCTTCTTCAAAATGTAAAGCAATATCTTATACATATATGTAGAATATGAATTAGTATTATATACAATTATTTTAATATTGAAATATATACTATATTACAAAATAATAAAATAAATAAAAATTATTGATAATTAATTCATTGTCTTGTATATTTTTACAAAAAATGTATATATATACATATATATCTAATTTTTTTCAAACATTTCCAAGTTATTAAAATTTTCAAAATTTGGAGTTTTTAGCTTGAATAAATTATTAAAAAATTACCTTCAGATAACTAGATATAGTTTTTAATTTCTTTAACATAAGATCCACTCGTTAATTTACATAAATTTATTCTAAAGACACATAAGCAAAAATTAAGAGTAATAACTTTTAATAACTTCGGCGTATCAGCATCATTATACAACAAAATTCAAGCAATTAATTAAACAAGCAATTGTACTCTCAGGCGAATTTCCACGAATACAATTTAAGATATAAATACAGTAAAAATAGTTGTTTTTAGATTCGAGTTAGAGATATCAATCTCCAAGGCTGCGAGATATAAAGATCGGCAAATGATTCTCATCTTTGCGTAACACGTGTCGCGCGTTTCTCTAATAGTCTAATTGGTGTCCTCTTCTGAATTTGATATCAAGGTCAGTGACAGATTTCGATTTCTCGGTTTCTTATGAAATCTTACGTTTGTAACGTCCTAATTTATATAGCTTTTATTAATTTGTGCAAAATAAATTATGTGCTTCCAGATATTTTCAGATGGCTCAATAACGATGTCGCAAAATTTCGTTTCGTAAAGCAGTGAGATTAAATAATAATTTTAATAAGGGGAGGGGAAAAAATGAAATTTTATCGAAAACTATAATCCTAATAAAAGAAGAACAGCTAATTTTCTAGAATTCTAGGAAGAGAGTGCTCTTCCTAGAATTAATAACTCTAGGAATAGGAAGAGCGCTCTCTTCTGATGAAATATTTCGTATTTCAAGGCGTATTACGAATCGAGGAAAATTGCGATTACGATCTAAACAGATAGAGAATAAACTTTCTTAAGCGCATTCAGGAATTCCCTCCCGCGTTTCTCTCGTTCTCTCTCGAAAATCGGTTGAATCATCTGCTTAGATTTGTACGTATGATGCATACGAAGCGCGAGATGGTAGATGCACGACTCTGCAATATACGTATGTATGCATGCATGAATGTGCTATGTGTGAATTGCATAACGAAGCATTTGAGGAGTGAAAGATACGAAGTAGTCGATGTCTATATAATCTGAGAGTCCCCGTGGAATTTTGATGAAACAGGCGTGTCGATCGGCGATTATTCTCTCGGATCTCTCGATGCGATTTCACGAAAGCTCTTTTTTTAGGACCTCTCGCTGCAATTGCATAATGTTTTGCATGCCGCGATCTTAAGGATCCGAGATAAGGCCTCGTGCGTTATTTATAATAAAAATTCAAATCGGAACGATCGGCGCGTCGATCCGAGCCTGGCCTTCCCGTCGCTGCCAATCGCTTGTAAGCGCTGGCACATTCGGCCCGAGCGACGCGCGCCAGCGAGGATGCACGTAAGTGCATTTTATCATAGCTCCCGGCTGCAGTGCATGCACCTTTCACTAGCGGAAGTGAACAGCTGAGAGGCAGACGCGTGAGAGCGACCCAGGTCATTATTCGCTCGTTACGGGCGACCGCTTCGAGCTGCAAGCTGAGGCATCGCGAAACGTACGCTCACGAGTTGGTTGTCGACCGACCGTTAAGTCGAAGGCCGATTATCGATTGACTTAACGCTAATATCTGTCAATGTTCTGCCAATATTTTTTTTTCCAAATGGACAGTTTTATTGTGCGTGCACAAGTCCAGAAACGCGTAAGGTGACGCAATGAATTTTTTAAATTAAAATTCCTTAAAGTCTCTTTAACGACGCTTAGTCGAGAAATTATGCGATTTCTTGATATTTCGTCATCATTTAGAAAGGTCTGCTCATTTATTTGCATTATTCTTAACATTTCCTCGCTTGATTTACCAAACCGAAAGGTCTCTCCGGAGGTTCGATAAAAAGCAAACGATAAAATTGGCTCTTCGCTCTCTTATCAGTGCGACATCGCGACTGCTGACGATTGTCGCGACAATTCGTCGGAAAAATACCCATTGGCAACGCGATCGACGAAGACTCGCGCGTCGACGGGAAAATAGCGTTTCGCGTATTAAAAGCGAGATCTCTTCAGTATCATGCCGTGGCAATTAATCGTGCAACGTGTCGGGCGAATATACGGACGAGATGTGCGAAGTAAGGGAACAGAGCGCGAAGAGCACGTTGCGCTTTCTCAGCGACTTATGATTGCGCAATTGCGCGAAGATGGATGCACACACACATGTACGAGCAACGCACATATTGTAACGAGTTTCTCATTGGTGTGTTTCGAGATTTCGCCTCTGTGAAAAGACGCGATTAATGGCGAAAAAAGTAGTATCGTCGATTTATCGGGGGAATAAAATTATACAGGAAGTAAATCTAAACTCTCTCTCTCTCTCTCTCTCTCTCTCTCTCTTTCTTCTTCTTTCTTCTTTCTTCTTCTTTTTCTGTCTCATTCGAAGAGCGCCGTAATTTCGTCATGTAACTGTTACTGCTATTATCTCCGATCTTTTTTCGATACCAACCGTTTACTAACGATTATCTTTGCCATTTTTCATTATTTCGTGGAGTTTCGATCTAACGACTACCTGCCAACAATACCGATTGGTTCGGGCCAGTATAATCCTGGCCAGTTCAGAATTCGATGCTGTAGCAGAAGGAGATTGCATCTGCGTTTATTTGTGGCGATGCGATAATACAGTTTCAACGAAACAAAAAATTCTCCAAAGAGAGAATAATTATTGCATTTTTTGACCTCGGAAATACTTTATAGTATCACAATTTTGAAAATAGATATAACAAATTTCGAGCCCAAAACGTAAACCCTAAAAAATTAAATTTTATCGAAATTCTTCAGTTTTCAAATCGCTCTGCATGGCGATAGAAAGGATCAATCCTTTCTCTATTTAAAGATATCTAAATATAGAAAACAAGCCTCAGCCTTTATTGTTTTTATCTGCCATCAACGGGTCGGGTTTGTAATTAATTATTCGGCGCTTGCATATCTTGACAGTATAATCTCTACACGCATGCACATGCGCACGTGTGTATGTGTCTACGATCGCGAGTGCTGATCCGCGGAGAGCCTAGACCTCCCAGGACGATCTCTTCCTCCCGGACGTAAAGGCCGCTTTTACTCCGTTCCCTTTAACGGCGAACAAACGAAGCCACGCTCGTGTCGCCGCCGTTATAAGTTATATGCATCAGCCGCGCAACGGTTCGCGGAGTCCGCGATGATGTCCGCGAAACAGTACCAGGCCGTATCCACGCATCGGTATTCCCGCGCCTGGGGTGCTCAAACGTCGCTTGGAGCGATAATTATTAATTCAACCGCGGGAAAAAGGAAGCGACGTGGGCTGTTATAGTAGTTCTACACCGACGCGGCGCGCGGCGCCGAGGGAATCCGCGGCGCCGCGCGGTGAAACTCGAGCGCGTGGCCGCGGCGACCTCTGCAAAGGTCGGCTCCTCTTGCTCCTCTCCGAGGAAAGTGAGGCCCGAATACTTAAAGTGCAAGTGGAAGCGGGTAATACCGTAATTGCTCGACGCGAAATTGCTTCGCCGCCGATATACGAGGGACAATGACACTTCGCGCGGAGAGAAGAGACGCTCGGCGAGCGCCGAGAAGAGTCACGAGACGCGAAATTCTTCAATTCTGAAAACTCGATTCGACGTCAAATGGAACGTTAAAATTCACAGTCCAAGACCACGGCGGATTCTGGGACTGTCCCGCACGACGTATAGTTTCGGTAGTGCAGAAGTAACGCAAGATTTGATCAAGGTGACCTCGCGCCGACCGACGCGACGTACGTCGAAAGTTTCAGAAGACTTTGGTGAAACCAGGCGCAATCCTGCGTCGGGGGATTAGTTTAGAAACGCGGACAGACCGCAGGCGACGACATTATTACGCTATCAAGCGGTTGCTCAATCGTTAAGTAAACGCGCATCTTGAATCCTCAAATTGATGTAACGAAAATCACCGACCATTTGATTCGATTTCACGTCGTTAAGTATACGACGCGACGTAGGGGAAAATCTCACAAGAAATGTCTTGTCTTTGCACATTGTACGTATTTCACGTACATACTTACGCTCGAATGACATATGGATTTCTGTAAAATCTCATTTATCCCTTGTAGCTCTGATGTAAAAAATTCCTTTAAAAAATGAAAGAAGATGTTGCAGCAAAAGCAAATTGTTATTGCTGGAAAAATGTACAATAAAACGGATTTTAGGATCCATAATTTTTTTTTATGTTTAATAAATGACTAGAGTTTTCCGTAGTTCTTAATAAAACTTATCTTTGTAAAGACAAAATAAAATTTTATCGTACATACACGCGCGTTTGTAATATTTCATAATAAAAAAATATATATATCTGGAATATGGATCGCAGGACAGAAAAGAACGCGATTATTATTGCAACGACGGCAACGGGCTGACGATACGGAACGAACCGGAAGCGTTTCACCGCTTTTCACATACCACGGTGATAATTACCCACGTAGGAAGATATTCACGGTG